ATGCTTTCTTTAAGAAATTTCAATGCTATTGTTGATTAACCTGAAGCCTGTTTTGTTAGAATTAAGCTGCACAACTTTTGCTACTGTGACTTGCTGTCTGGAAAAAAAAAAGTTGGAACAAAAATAATTAAAATTTATTTATCTTTTTTTTTTTTTTTTTTAATTGTTCAATTGTTAGAAACGTCTTTACTAATTGACACAAGGAGATAAAAACAAAGGAAATGTTTCTATTGGTAACAACATGATCAGAAGCCTAATGTTGATATAAGTTTCATTACAAACCAAATGTAAAAGTGGCTGATGAGTAACCTTAATGTCATAGAAAATTTTATCGCTTTGCTGACAACTTTGTTATGACAAACCAGCTTCAACTACCTCATGCTGGCTCTGGCTTTTTCAATTCATATTTTTGTCTAAGCTGGTTCTCTATGGAAATTATTTTAGCTGATTTTATATATATATATATATATATATATATATATATATATAGTGTATTTAGGCAGCATTTTTTTCATTGATGCATGTTTCCTTAAATATAGACAAGTTTTGTCTATTTTATGCAAATTCCTTTCATATCATCTGATAAGCTTAATAACATTATCATTGAAAGATGAAAGAAAATCACCATATTGATGTTTTTTAATCCTATCTAAGCTTTCAGCTTACATAAGCCATGATCAAAGTTGACAATAACATTACAATATATTAAACAATACACGGACATGGCAATAATGAGATATATATATATATATATATATATATATGAGAGACAATTAATACAAGTAAAATATTTGTCACTTAACTGATTCATGTTACCTTCAGCATTCCAACTCCACACACACATATATATATATATATATATATATATATATATATATATATATAATGAGAGAGACTGAGTAAAAAAAAAAATCATAAAAATGAATTTATTTACAGTTCTAATGACCCTTACTGTATTTCTGGTGACTATAATGTCTGATTTATGAACAGTTGTTATTGTAGTTGTCCTGCTAGTTGATTGCTAGCTGCAGATAAATCTTGCACGATACACTTGGTTATGGCAAACACACAAAGTTGTTTGCTTTTCAACCAGATTTGTCTATACACAATTCCCAATTTAAAATCTTCAACTATTTTATGTTGTTTGACAGATTTGTTTTCTACAGCTTATCAACACTTTGCAAGTATAAAGCTAGAAAATATTTTTTTACATTGTTAGAATTTTTTTTTTTTTTTTTAATGAGATAATGATTTAGTGATACAAATCTTACTAATTAACTTACGGCGGGAGGGAAAAAGTGGGTTCATGCCTTTCCCAAGGGTATTTGCACATAAGTGAATATAATAAACTCAACTTGAATTGGAACTTGGCTCTCCACTTAACAATTATCCATTATGACATCCATGCTTACAGCAGCTGGTATCCCCAAACCATTACCCATTCAGGTACTGAAAAGGCTCAATGTTGCTTAACTTTGCTGATATTACAGGAACTGGTATTTCAATGTGATGTGACCATGTAAGCCCTATTTTATTATGTAATTACTAATGAAATAGTCAATTGTTAATTTATTGCTCATCAAATAGCCAAGTGAATCATTTGGATTTTTAAAACAGATGTCTGTTTTGTGTTGACTGATATTGCATAGTCTCTAATTTAATTTCTGATATATTTCTTCTATTTTCTGTTCTTTTTGCATTGGCATTAAACAAAAATACTTCTGTGCTCAAGTTTTTCAAAAAACGTTCATATTTTATTACCTAAATACTTTGGCTTAGCCAGATGTGAAGAAAAAAGAATTTTAAGTTTATCGTTCAAGTGAGAAAGGTTGACTGTACTGTCTTCAAGATCAACATTTGAAATCTTGGTTATTTATCTGACTTCAGATACTGATCACTGGTACCAAGGGGAATTATACAACAGTTTTGGTTACCAAACAGACATTTTATATTTTACACCCTCCTCCAAAAGCACTGATGTATGAAAAGTCATGGGCTAAGTGTCTACTGTTGTGCATGCTGAGGTGCAACAACATAACATCAATTGCACAAGTAACCAGAAGACTGGAAAGATGTTGACCCATGCCATCTCAATAACTGCTCCGATATCTATATGTTTAGGAGCTTGTATAAGAATAGACCTCTATATCACATCCTATAAGTGCTCTCTCTCTCTCTCATATATATATATATATATATAATGTTTCAGACTTCATCAGTTAAATAAAAAGATGTTTTTACACTTTGTCATTAATTTGTCTAACATTGTCCTGATATATCAAAATTTATATATCATATTCTCCCATATATATATATATATATATATATATACACACTATTACTCAGTGATCTCAAACAGTAAACTAACACTTAGCACATTTGAAAAGCATGTTATATACTACCAAATACATGTTCAAACTTTTCTGTCTCACTTAGTGCCATTAACATTTGATCATGTAATATATAACATCCTTTTTAAATGTGCTTAATATTAGTTTGCTGTTTGATAACATTGAGTAATAGTATTTGTTAGTCATGAGTACTATGTCCCAGTTTCATATAAGGCAGCAATCTGTGAAAGTCTCAATTCAAGGCTATGAAACTTTGTAATTATTCAAACAACAAATCTGTAGATAAGACCTTAAAGAAAAACTTTGTTTGCAAATGGCTACATGACAGTCAACAAATAGTGCATCCAATAGGAAGCCTGAAATTGCCAGTTGTTGTGCACTCTCCTTGCAATTCTGATTTGGCATCATCAAACTTCTGTTTGTTCCCAGAATTTGGAGATGTGTTGAAAGGCCAATATTTTTCAATTGTATACAATTGGATAAAAAAAACAAAAAAAAAACAAACCTTTCTTCATCGATGAACTGAAAAGTGGATACAAGGCTTGGAAAAATGTGTAGTACTAAATAGTGACTATATTGAAAAAGTAAACTTATAAGTTTACTTCTATAAACATATGGATGACTGGAGATGGCACCACTATCAGAAAAGAAAAAGAAATCATGTTTTCAATAAACTCTAGGTTCTCTGTTCATGGATCATTTACTTGGCACAGTTCGATGGGTAAGTGACATTTGGGAAATCTTTGCTGCTACTTCTATCACAATAATGGATCAGATCTTCTTGTCAACCAGCAAGAATTCAAACTTCTCCTCTGCTCATGTCTCACTGCCAACTCCCTACATCTTGATGGACACCTTATGACTCTCTCTTACCACCCTTCTAAATAATGGTGAATGGTTTTTCAACCTGTGGCTCTGCCTCTCTACATCTGAATGATGTTTTATTACTGGCATCTCTGACCACTCCAACTATGACCGGCCATTCAAGAAAATAGCTTCACTATATAAGCCCACAATTAGAATTTCCTACCTTCTGGCCAAGTGGCACTTGATCCCCAGTTTTAATTTATTTATTCACTTCATTTCCTTCTCCACTTAAGGATAGTGGATGAGTGCTTTGAAGTTATCACATCTCAATTTTACTGGCAATCATAAAACACCAGTCCAAGCTCTGATAAAATGATTTACAGCCCACTCAACTTCATGGGTGTCCTAATGGGATCAGCTTATATAACACTTCACTTTGATACCAGTTTCATTAAACTATTTTTTCTATGACTTATTTTATACATTTATCAATCAGCTCTTGTTATATAAATATAGTTAATTTAGCTAATATGAAAATGGTTGCTATTAAATGAACAAATTCTTTTTAGGTTTATTCTACTGTGATGTGCAAGCAAGATAATTCTCAAAGTTCCTCACCTTTAATCACAGTATATCTAACTACATCTTATAGCATAACATCTGAATAATTACATATGTTAAACGTGACTGTTGAGCTCATCTATTTTGTTTACACACCTCACATTTGTTTTTCAGTTTTTAATTTGTAAAGTTGTTCAATTATTGTTGATATAAAACATTTTCAACTTTCTGGTTGCCATTTGATTTTAATTTCCACTTTGAATTCATAGAAAATTGTTTGCATCAGTCATTGAACTATTTGCTTTTTAATGCTTTCTGTAATAATTTTTATTCTTTTGCAATTTAAGTCTTGAAAAATCTCACAAAAAATTGGCAAGGAAATATTTTTGAAGAATTGTCAGGCTGTCAAATATGTTCAGCTTCAAACTTTCAGTCATAAAGGCAGCAGACAAAGAACTTAAAATTTTTGTTTTTTTCTTTACAGAAAATGCATTGTAGTAGGTGTTTGCAAGTTTCCAGCAAACAAGATTTTGATTGTGTATTCAATGTTGAGTTTTCAAAACAAAGTGCCCTGGGAATTTGTTAACTTATGTTAAAATAGGCATAACGGTTAACTTATTTCAACCTTCCCAAAATTTATAATCCCAATCATATAAATTCTTTTGTCTGGAAAATGAATGAAACAAATATTAGGCTTATGGCTATATCAAATTAAAATACTGGTTCCTGTATTATCACTGAAGTTAAGCAATGTTGAGCCTGGTCAGAACTTAGATGGGTTGACTGCTTGAGAATACCAGCTGCTGTAAGCTTGGATATGCAGTTGGTGTAATGGATAATGGCTCAGAATTCTTAATCAGAGAGCTAATTCCAGTTGGGTTTGTTATATTCACTTGTATTCAAATACCCTTGGGAAAGGTATGAATCTTCCCCCCTTCTCTCCCCCTGCTATGGGTTAATTAGTAATATTTGTATCATTAAATCAAAAACCCTGCAAAGGGTTGAATTACTGTAGAAAATGAATCCATCATGAAACAAACATTTATTTTCTTGTGTAAAATATAGGTTAATTTTTATCAATTTTATCCCCACCCACCACCTTGTTATATTCCCCTTCCTCCAATCAACCCCTTCCCTGCTTTACTATAATCAATTTAATCCCCCCACCTTATTATAATCAGCATCACCCTCCCTTGCCTTACTATAATCAATTTTATCCCCCCACCTCAATAATCATCTTAATATATTGACTTGAATTAATTTTTTTTTATTTAATTGTAGCTCTATCTCACAAAGAATTTTGGCGATTCATGGACTATGGTGCAAGAGAATGTGAAAGCTTTCTTTTGGTGAGTAATGTTTTATTAATTTATTTGTAATTTCATAAGAATAACAATAGATTAGTCCTTAGGCATTTAGAAAATGCTCATGTTTATTTCAGCTGAAATTAATTTTATATACAAGGTTTTTGGATGTCTAATGAGGAAAGAAGGCTCAGAACTTTTAAAACTCAAAGTACAATAAAGGCAAGAGAAGCAGAAGAAAGCAATGAGAAACCCACTTGAATAGTTTAAGCAAAAATCCTATGAAACTTGCCACTTGTCTTCACTTATACTGAAAATGACTTAAGTCAAAAGTTTGGACCATATTTCCTCAGTACGATCTTTGAGCAACTTCTGATGGAATTTTTTTTCTTGTCTGAAAAGGATTATTTGTAATTTGGAAAAGTCATTTAAATTAATTGACACACACACACACACATATATATATATATATATATATATATAATCTCAAATATGTGGTGCAGTTCAGTTTATATTACAATGGATCATTCATGCATACAAAAAGTAAATTAGTAAAGTTAATGATATAAAATGGTGAAATCCCTTTGCTAACAAAGTTTTAAAGATGCATTAACCTACTAATTACTTGATGAATGTTACGATCCTTGTTTTTAAAAATTATAAGCTGTATAAGGTCTCTCTTAAATATGCAAGTACTTTTGACTGTATATTCAGTCATCTTCAGACATGGAAATTATTTTGCTTTTGGTAAAATTCAGGTAGCATCAAAAATATGTGAATTGAAATTTTTTTTTTTTTTTTTTTTTTTTAAATGTGTTATTGATAATGGATACAAACTTTTGGAGCATGCAGCTGCAATGCTAAGGTTGAATTTTTTTTTAAATCTAAGTGTGCATTTTTTTACTAATATGGCAATCTGAGAATTTTTTTTTTTTTTAAATTTCTTTCTCACTAATTCCCTTAGGAAAGGCATGACTCTGTTTCTTCTCCCTTCAGCTAGATGTTAAATAATGGAGTAGACTAGGCACTCTATCCTTGAATGGCAACCAGTCTAAAAGAATGAAAACTTTGAATTCCAAAATTATAGGTGAAGGCAATTGGAAATCACATGACTATCTTTCTGAGGATACATGGCAATTCAGGAAGAAAAGGAATCTCTACTAAATCATGGTTGATTGATTTGTTTTTTATGGCTTATTAGTTGGTACAGTGAGAACAATCTGTCTTGTAGATTAAATAAAGGGCTTACAGTTCAAAATTCTTTGAAGCTTACCTCAAATGACAAGTTCCTAAAGAAGGCTGGAGAGCATAATGTCTGAAATGTAATAACACAAATGGAGACATCAGTTTGAATGTAAATAATGTTAACTTGTCATACCAGAAATTAGCAAAGGAGTCATTGAGTAAAACAAGATTACCCCATCAAAGATGTGATTAGTAGTTCAAGTAACTTTTTAAATAGTTGGTTATATTGGTTATCAAGAGAAAGTAACTTAGTAGTGAAATTCTCAAGAGTGCTGCTATTGAATCTTATCAAAATATAAATCTGCATCTCGTATCTTTTCACATATCTCCATTCCTGAATGAATTACTACTTTTCCAAATCAAGATAAGATATATGACTCCAAAAATATTTAAAAAAAAAAAAAAAAAAAAAATTAAAAGAAAATGGTTAAACCCATGACCTCATGTTATACAATATATATAAACACATAAATTAATCTCAAACTAGAATTTTATGTACAAATTAGTATATAAATTATATACTAATTTACAGAAAAAATTTTTAAAACATAACTTACTCACTTTTTGTTTATTAGTCATTGAATTATATCACTTTGTATCCACCCCATAGTTTGCCTGATGTTTCAGCTAACCTGATGAATGTTCCTGAGTGTTCCTGACAATCAAAAATTTTTAAAAACCAATAACATTTTTGCTCTTGTATATAAGCACTTGTTACAAAATAAAACCCTTGCATTTGTCTTGATAAAGGTGCACAGAGGATGAAATGTGCCTAAGAATTTTTTTCTTTCGTCTATCAATATTGGTTATCTTTATGCAGACTCTAGTTTAGGTGATGAACTGTATTTAGAAATGTTAAATGAAAGATATATTTTGTCTTTTCAGGGGACATGAAAAATATGACAACCCTGATAAAATTTATGTTGAACGACTTGAACCAAATGGGCATAGCACAGTTGTTTTGTCCACTGATTTCTTTGAGAAACATCAACAAGCAATTATTTCTGCCGTTGAAGATTTTGAAATCAAAGAAAATTATATGTTTGCTACGAAAAAGATTGTAAGTAAAGTGCCTATCCATATTTGTTTAAATCTGTTTATACCTTGTCTCTACATTTTATTTCGTCATGTTTTTACCTTTTTCATCCCCTCCCCTCTTGTGTATTTTTTTTTTTTTTTTTCAGGGCAAATAATATTAACAAAAAAAAAAAAGTTTTGAAAACTACTACGACTAAAGCATGCTGCTTCTGTGTAGTTTCAATTAAGTCTTTTTATGTCTCTCTTGCTTTTCTGGGATTATAATGAACTTTAATCTCTTGAAAGTAACTTGCAAAATCTGGCATTAATCCTGTTTTTTATCTATTCAAATTATTTTCATATTTTGTTCTAATTATTGAAATTTTAATTACTGTATCTAAAAAGGAAAACAAATTGTGTTAATATGTGTACTTGCTAGAAGAATCTGAATTTGTCGGTTTTTCATTTTGTTTAATTATTAAAGATGTCAACATTTGAAGAATTTAGTAAATAAAGCTATAGGAAATTATTTTCTAAATTTCTTGTAGGATTAAACCCTCTAAAAGTGAATCCTAATTAGTCAGCAAATGTAATTTGACAAAAATGGGAAAATTGCAAAAACGAGTTTAGAATTTTTCTAAAGGAACAAATCAAAATGAAATAAAGGCAGAAATTGAATATTAACAAAACATTAAAAAAAAAAAATTCAAAACACTTTGGAATCTATAAAGACTTAAATTTTTTTTATACAAAAAGACAAAATAAAAATTTTGCAAGTGTTTCATTTTGATGTCATTTGTCCTGTTGATGTGTAGGTATGGATTAGTTTACCTTGTTAGATTACACCATGATATTCATTCTATAAAGAACAAAGTGATTGTTAGACTATTTCTCTAGAGGTTTGGTGAGATGAATACTACAGCAAGAAATACAGAATTCTTATTTTTAAATCTGTTTATTTGAAACCACTGAATGGTTTTATAAACTCTTGAAAATTTAAAGACCCAGGGAATGCATAGAATATCAAATCAATGGATTGAAAGGCTGATGATAAAACATGTAACACAAAATTGAATTGTGAAGCAGACTATGCCATTGGTTTCTTCATCTGAAGAAAGTTTCAGATGGAATTAAAAACTTGTGATAAATGAAGAAAATTGCAGAGAGCCTCATAATCTCCACTACTATATATCTATACTAGTTTGGAAATAACACTAAGCACTAGTTAGTAAATTGCTAAAAGGTTTTAAGACACTAAAATGTTGTTCCCTAAACTAAGTGTAACTTAGATGTGGCACAAGGCTGGAAGTAGCCAGCAAGTATCAAACTCACTACTCGGCTGTAATTGATCAAGCAAGCTAACCAATATACCACATCGATATGTGTACATCAAGAGCAAGTGATGTAAGTTTCGGAGGTGTTTATATTTTGTTAATTTTAAAATATCTTGATAAGGATTCAGAAAAAAATGAAAATTCTTTGTATTTAATGTTTCTCCCATTTTCTTTTGTACGTGCAGCAATATTTTGGTTCTTCTCAGCCATTCCACTTGCAATTGTGGGTGTCTCGTAACCATGAGGAATTCCAATTGGCTCAATTCTGGCCACAAATGAATCACTTGGTGAGTTTAAAACCTTTTTCACTTTTCTAGCCTTTTGGTTGTTGAGTTTTGAAAGTCTACTTCAAAATGTCCTTTGGAGATTCTGTAATTTTTTAATCTTGTATAGATTGCTAAAATCATTTGGTCATATTTCCTCTCTGAATTTGTGAGCTTCTAATAAAAAAACAACCAAAAATTACAGTATTCCAAGAGCGGCAATTTTGACAGTTATCTTGACAACTTTATTATAAAATCTCCCAAACATTATTTACATACTCAAAGGTTTTTTTTTTTTTTTGTTTACCTCCTCTCCTAGCTCTTGTAGAGCATTAACAATTTTATCCTCTTGGTAATTGGATCACACTGTAGTATCTTTTGATATTTCTTTTGCGTCATCTATTAGAAAGGAACCACTTATTCACAAAACTTCTTTCTGTTACCTGCATACTGATCAGGATTCATTTTTGTTTTTGTTACTTTATTTGAGATGTCTCTTGGATAAATATTCTTAACTTTCCTATTGTGAATTGTGCTACAAAAGTTTCTTCTTGGGTTAAAGCCAACTTTGATGATTTTGTACCCATTTGCAAATATCAGATGAAACCACAATATTCTTGGTTCTTCATGATAATTCTAATCACAACAGATTCCTATTTGTGACTGCTCAAAATAAATGTGAACATGTGCTCATGTCTTTGTTTGCTGATAGAATTAAGCACTGTATAGCCAGTAACAAGTTTGGTTCATGCTGTAATAATTATCATTATTTGGACAAATTTAATAGTTTTGTATAAATGAATTTAAACTGAAACCTTTAATTCCATAGGAATAATTATTATTCACTATTTCAGATTTTTTAACCCTTACCTCTAAATTGGAGTTTCTATTTTATCTAAAGTATTTGGAAGATGCAGTATTCCTTTATTTTATTTGATGAAGCATTATCACCTATTATTATTTTTATTAATTTTGATTAGTATTGACTTACATCTTAATTTTTCAGTTGTTTTTATTGCAACTTTACTGAAGTTGTAAAATGGAACTTATTTGACATTGTGAATTGGATCTTGTCTTTTATTTCCAATTAACACTGTAGACTGATGACTTGAGCAAAATTGCAATAAAAAAGAAACTGAAAAATTAATATGAAAGTAAGTACTGGTCAAAATTAATATTCCAATTCATATATAGAATTGGATTTATAAACTAACATTTTAGAAGCTAATGAAAAATATATATCATTTTTTTTTTTTACTTCTCTTTTTCTTTTTTCTTATTAGAATGCTTGGGATGTTTTATGTTCTATAAATATTAAGCAGAATGAATCAGAAATAAATTAAAAATAAAAATAAAATAGTCTCCAACAAAATTTGGACTCTTTAATATCTTTGACTGAAATGAATGTTGTGTTTCCAGTCTGTGCTTCTTGTTTTAATGGTCAGAGAATATAAAACAATCTGGGCAACAATAATTAGATGAAAGATAAACTAGTAAAAAAAAAAAAATGTCAATGCTTCATCAAAGAAATATCGCAATTTATTTTGTATAAATGTTCAATGACAGTGAATCAAAGTTAGTCTCATTTTAAGGATTTTGTTTTTGTCTGTTGTAATTTGTTTGTTTTTGATTTCTTTTTTGATTATTTCTTTCAGGATTATTACATTGCTGATGCTTCTGAAAACCAAGTATTTGTGTGTGTGAATCATCATAATTCACTGAGCAATCTGTTTGTGTCAGATGTGAAAGGAATCAAATTCACTTTGTCTCTTGAAAGAATTATTTACTATAAACCAAAAGGACCAAACAAAGACACCTGGCTAAAGTGAGAATTTTCATTTCTTTTGGATTTTCTATTTTTCTAAATTGTTTCATAAAGACATGAGAAATGCTTTATTTTTAAGGTGATATCATTGTTTTCTTACAAGTGCATTTTATGAATTTTGAACAGTGTTTATTGGCTTGAGATTTCATTTGTGCTTTTATTTTTTTTGTCTTCTAATTTTCCTATATGAACTTTTTTCTTTTTTTTTTTATTGATGGTTTTAGGTTTTATGCCGATCAATCATTTGCTGACATTCACAAGGTAAAGGGTGTTCGAGGTGTGTACATTGCATCCCAGTTTATGAACAGTTCATTCAATGTTGAAAACCAAATTAGCTTGATCACCTTTGATAAGGGAGGCCTTTGGCACCCACTTTTGGCCCCAGAAAAGACGAGGGATGGAGCCATTTTGAATTGTTCAATTGTAAGTTCGAGCTCTTTTCTTTTTTTTCTTTTTTTTTTTTTTTTTTTTTTAAAAAGTTAAAATAAAAAATTAAAACCTTGTTTATTGTTTATATTAAGAATAATTTCCTTTATAGCCATATTTTCTCATATTCCAATTAAAAAATTTTTTTTTTTTTAAATGCATTTATTTGTTAATGAATTTATTGTTTTTTTTTATTGCAGAAGTTTTAACATTTCAGCAAAGGACATATGCAGAATATTTTGTGGTTAAATGAGACCATATCTCTGTAAGAAGCACAGCCAGAAAAAATAGTCATTGATTGAATTATTTTCTGAATTCACAAGAGTAAATAAATTAAACTAACCTGATTATTTATCAAAAATGAGGCATGTCCATTGCAATCACCAAGCTGGCTTGTCATTTTTAAAACAGATATTGACAATTTTGAAGTTTCACATTTTATTATTATATTATTAATCAGAAAAACAATAAGAATAATATATAATGTTTGCAGAAAAGGTGTTTTTTTTTTTTTTTTTTTTTTGTGGTGGGAGCATTATTTCCTATTTATTTCATCTTAATACTTTTTTTTATCTCACAAGCTTGTGTATGATATCTGTTTCCCTTCAATTAATGTGTAAACTGAATAAAAATTTGGTGTTTTGATTTTTCATAATTTTAAAACCTTTTTATTAGTTCTTATTTTTGATAAATAGTCACATTTTCATAACCTATCATTTTTCTAAAACAGTTTCTTCTGGCTCATATCTTTCTTGTCTGATCCCCCCCCCCAACAGTTTGCACTTGGAACTTGAAAACAGTCTCATTTTACTCATTCTGCAACTGAAATCACTTGAATGCCCCCCACAAATCCTTAAATTGTGTGTTTTTTTTTGTTTGTTTTTTCCAAAGAGAATTTAATTTTATTTAAAAAAAAAAAAATCAATTTAAAGATTTTTTTTTTTTTTTTTCTAAATTTGGCTTAGAGAAATTTTTTTTTTAAATTTTTTTTTTTTCTTTTTTTTGTTCAATTGAAAGCTTTTAATATTTTTCTTTATTCTCTTTTCTTTGTTTATATGAAAGGTTTCAGTTTATTTTGTAAAGTGCTCATGATTTCCTGTTTCTCTTTTATTTGTTCAGTCCTTTTACAATCAGTGGTTTTTGAAGAAGGTAATTTTTTTCCTAGCTTTGACATTTCAAATCTTGTTCCAGCATGACAATTGGTTGTATCATGAATCAATATGACCTCAGCATGGTTGTGCTTTTCTGACATGTTTGGTGACCAACACAAAATTGGCACTGGAACACACATTTTTGATCCACTATATTTTCACAAGCCTGTGTCCAGCATTGATGCTGATGTGTCCAGCTTTCTTACTAACTACCATCTTAGTCACCATACCATGGTCCTTTTTTTTTTTTTTTTTTTTTTTTTTTTGTTCGTCTAACTTGCATATGTTCAAAGTGATGGCTGTTGTTACTTTATCATCTTTGACTAATTTGCAGACTTTAATTCTTTTTGTACAGCATGGTCGTATGTGATGCTGCTACTGCTTTGACTGGCATGAGTATTGCCATCGTTGGCAGACTGTATGAAACAACTGGTCTCAATTGTTGCCCCAACCCCCAAAAGAAAAATTTTGTATATGCCCCGTTCATACTTGTAAAGTGACATTGATCACATTTTTGTTTTTACGTGCACACACACACACACACACACACACACACACAATTTTTAAATATAGATAAGGTTTTTTATATAAAGCGGATATATTTTTTACTTGTCGCTTTCAGCTTTTTGTAATTAATATTTACTGTTGGCATTGCTTGAATAATCCTGAATATACTGCTAAGCTTTATTCTGATGTCAAAGTATTTTGTCAAGTGTTTTTTTTTTTCTTTTTGTCACTTGCTACAGCATGATTACTACTTATACTTGTTTAACCTTTATCTTATTTTTTTCTTTTTTATTTTATATATATTTTTTTTTTACTCTTTGTAACTGATTTTTTTTTTTTTTTTTTCTCAAAATTCTTTCTTCCTTCCCTTACCATAATAAATCCATTACTGATTTTTGCTGCTCACCGTTTATTTCCTGTGCAAAATAAATCCAACTTAAAAAGTTGGAATAAAAACATCATTGTGAGAAATAACAATCTGCATTTGATTAATTTTCAATCAAAATGAAATTGTTTTCAATATGGATTTGAAGATGTAGGAGCAAGGGACATAACTCTGTTTGGATGTTCAGAATTAACAAAATTAAAATAAATTAATAAAATTCTTGTAAATATTTATAATTGCTCATTGTAAAATCTCATGTGTCAGCTTCTTCATTGTTGATAAAGTAAATGAAGTATATTGTCTATTGCTCTGAGAAAAGTTATTAACCTATAAATTACAGTAGAAATTACCATCATTTGCAAAAGACTGAAATTCCTGTCATCTGCAGTTAATCGATGAATTTTGTTTGAACAGTTCAGCCTCTTCATGTTGTATATCTTGTACTTCCAAAATGGATTGATCTGGTTGCTATATTGACTACCTTTTTTGTTGTCATTTCTTACCTCCCAAGATAAATAAGATTTATCCTCTTTTTTTTCTTATGGACAATACACCTGATTGACCAAAATATTAATATCGATTATGTAAAGAATGTTTTTTTGATCTGCATCACCCCATGCAAGGCAGTAAAGCCATTAAAACACGAGGTATGATAGAATTAGGAACTGAAACAGTAAGGAAGAGAAAAGAGTAATCAGGAGGACAGTAGATAGTGATTGATATTATATTTAAATTTTTGCAGATTGGTTGGAAAGCATGGAGTCAGAAGGGAGTTCCACAAGTGAGAAAAGAAATTTAGCATAGAACTTAGGGCTACACCTAGCCAGCTTAACTGCAAATTGAGATCTCAACACTAGTTTAAAAAGAAATGTGTCTAATTAGTAAGAATAAAGTTTTCTCTAGCTTCATAAAAATAGTATTTAACTGCTTTATCATATTTCAAATAAGCACTCGCATTTTTTTTTTAATAGGAAATTATGCTTGTTCATTATTTTCCATGCACAGATCCTTATTGGGTTATGATTTTAAGCTGTTATTTATATTTTTATAATTTATCTTTGAATACATTTCTGTATTTTTTTTTTTTTTTTTTTTTTTTAATATAAAGTGGGTGGAAACATGAGACAAAAAGACAAAACAAACCCAAACCTATTGGCAACACATCTGAATCAAAACTTATTCTGTTCATTCTTTACAATGTGATGTTTTATCTGTCTATATTCCTGAGATGCGGTATTGTAATTATTTAAATTGTCTGGACTGTTGTCCTCATCTTTGTTGCCATATTCACAATGTTTTGGCCATTTTTATGCTCCTCCCTTCTTCAGGTGATTGCAATTTTGAACCAAACCCTTTTTGTCCACCGGGGTAGATTGTTCTAGTTCCATGTGCCATGCTTCTTCTGGATATCTCAGTATCAGTTATTTCCCTTTAACTCAACACTCCAAGTTTTTGTTCACCACTGCTGTAACCAAGTATTGAACTCACTTTTGGGTCAAGTCACTGGATTACTTCAACCAACACTTTTATCCACTAGGCCATATGTCCTTGAGGGTTCTGTTTGAAATTCCAATCACCTGAAGAAGGCCAGAGTGTACAATGGACGAAACATCATGAATATGGCAACAAATTTGAGGACAACAGTCTGAACAATGTAAATAGTAATGTTTTATATCTTCATATTTCTTTTTAACTTTCAAACATCAAAATCAAATGTTTTCTTATTTGACAATTTGTTTTCTTTCTTATTACCACTGGACATTCCACTTAAGGTAATTTTAATTGGGGGTGGGATTAAGTTGTTGATCCAATTAATATTTTATGCTAGTCTAGTCTTGCTTTCCGGTAGGTAAACAAAATTTTGTTTGTGTTGCCTCCTCTCCCTTTTTTGATTTTATATACTTCCCTAGGAAGCCACTGCCAAATCATACCAGGTGGCGCTGTTTTAGTAAAAACTATGTTGTATAGGTTGGAGTCGCCCAACTGGTTTTGAATTCAGTTAGTGTCTTCTAGACTGGTTGCAAATCAAGTCTACACTATCTAGTCTACTCTGCTGTTTAAGCTATAACTGGTGGGGAGAAGATGGATTTATATCTTTCTCATTTGTATGAAAGTGAATGCTGCAGCCTCAGCCAGAATTTGAACTCTGCTTTCTGGTTCCATTTCTTGTGTCGTTAACCACTATGCAAATTGAGACATCCATATCATGTCACCCTTTAAAATCTGCTATAATTTGAGTGAATGCATTATGGCTTGCCAGTTGCAAGGCGATTTGTAAAATGAACAAATGAGCATAGACTGAACTTCTTTTGTGAATGGCTTAACAAAATATATACTTTGTTTCTTTTTATTTTTTTTGTTTTGATACTTATGAAAAAAAAGTCAATTTATTTTTGCATTGATTATGAACTGCTTGCATGATTTCACAATTCTCTACCATTTCACCTTTCTGGATTTTGATGTAAAATGTGAATTTGCATCTCATTTAATTGTAGAATGACTTGTCTTGTATTGGACTTTTCTCATGACATGAAGTGTTAAAATATTGAAAATTTCAATATTATGAAAATTCTTTTTTTTTTTTTAATTTGTCTTGTCTATTTATTCAGATATGGAATTTTTGTGTGTTTGTAAGATGTATCTGAATCAAAAGTAAATAAGATGAGACGATTATTTAAGATTACATCTCTAGAATGAATGGAGATTATAAAAAATTGTAATAATATTTGCTAATGCATTTAATTATTCCTTTTCCTCCAAACCGCTTTTCTGCTACAATTTTTTTTGTTGTCAAAGAATAAAAATGGCAATAAAAAGGTAGAAAAAAAAAAGAAAAATAAGTTCTCAAAATTATTTATGAACATTCAAGTATGAGTAAATGTAAAAAGTTAAAAACAGATCTTTTTTTTTTCTTTTTAAATTTTCCCAGTCAATAAAATGTCTATTACATACAATCTATGTATGCACTATAAGATGTATAAAACTTCTTTTAAGAGAAAATAACTCTTTCAAATTTAATCTGTTAATAAAAAACAGTTGTTAATTTCTTTAAATAATTTCATATATTTGTTAAATAATAAAACTGTTGGGACATTTTTTTTGTTGTACCTTTTTAAAATCTAAGTGACTAAAAATATAATAGATCACAAAAGTAGGTTTCAATGTTTGTGCAAAAGTCAGGTAAAAGAAAAAAAAAAATAAACATTCAGTGTTTGAAATGAAGTGGAAAGGTGCTTTTTGTAAACTGTTTTCTTTTGAATTAAGTTAAATATATAAAACCATATTAAATCTGACTTAATGTTAAATGAGGCATTTATATTATGACAAAGTAGAAACATTCACTTATAGATTTCACCATTTCTTAAATTTTTTTAATATTTTCATTGCATGTATAAATTGAATGTTCAACATTTACATTGTTTGGTTCCAAAATCCTGTTACGTCACAAGCTCAGCATCATTATATATTTGCTTTTCATGTAACGGTAAGAGAAGAAAGGAGCAGGGGGAGTAAGGAAAAGTATGACCGAGTTGCATCATTTCTTTTCTGTAGAAATGGATTCAAAAGATTTTGGGAATTTCTAAGTTTTCTGGCTGTTTTTAACATAAAATTGGTTTAGACTATTAAATGATCCTTTAAAACTGTAAAATTTTCTTTCTTTGCTTGTTTTTTTCTCTCTTCGTTTTTGCTTATTGTATCTCACATTCTTTTTTGCATCTCATTCTTTTTTGCATATTTTTTCTCTTCTTTTTTTGCCTATTACTTTTTTTTCATGCCTCTTTTTTCTCTCTTGTTTCTTTGCCTCTTTTTTTCTCTTAGCTAATTTTTTTCACAGTGATATTCAACCTGTACAAAGCCCAGAGTCTACTTGGGGTATAGGGTTAAAGAGTAAGAGGCATAACTTATTTGGATATGTGTGGAAGATAACAGTTGACCCAAGACTTTTAAAGGTTTAGATTGTAGTGATCAGGAAAGTATCCTCTTGGGCATCAGTTTTACAAAGCTGCAGTTTGTGGAATTTACATCTTACCAGTGGAATACAAAGGGAATGAGGTTGGTTTGCTATAATGTGCATGGAATAGCAGTTCTTAGGCATGAAAATTAGGACTGGTAGAACTAAGGAGTGTTATTCATCTGCATACTTTCCATGTAAATAGTCATTGAGTAGTGAAAGGCTTGCAACATTTAGTCTGTGAGAAAGAGGTTGTAGGGTGGAAAATAATTTGTCACTCTGTTTTCACTTTTCACATACTTGTGGGTATCCCCTGCTTGTATATGATAACAGTACTCTATTTTTGATTTGATCTGGCTCTTGTTAAGGCAGAGGATAGCAGGAGTTAGGTAAATGCTAGAGTGGTTCAGGGAATTGACCATTTTCCCAGCATCTTTAGTGATAATCTTATATACGAGTTCCACTTGAGGTCTGGGCTGAGTTTGTTTCAATAAGCACTCAAAGCAAGGTGCCTCCCTGAGGGAACATCTGTTCGGCATGATTGAAATTTCTAGGTCTGACTAGAATATTTGAATTGTTTACTTGTATCCTTCATGTCTCCTTGGATTTTACATGTTATTAACTTTAAGATTATACTTAATGATTTTTTTTTTTTTTTTAGCAATATCAAAGATATATTTTTAATGGAAATGGGGTAAAAAAAAAAAAATAAGGAAAAGAAAATTATACTTGGAATCAATAAGAGAGGCAGGGGAAAACAACAAATAACCTACCAAACGAGTTTGTGTAAATAGATAACAGAATGAAGACTGATGGATAGTAAAGGGGACAAACATTGATTAGAGCTACAAATGGTAAGAAGTTGTGGAGAGCCATGATTACCAAATGTCCTAAAGGGACATAGCACATAGAAAATAAAAACTCTATTGTATTCAACCTTATTTTCATTTCTTACTTTAAAAAAAAAAAATGTATTTTTGTTTGTGTTATTGACGTGGTTAAAACCACATCTTCACTGATGTCTTGATTTGTGATGAGACTTGACTACAAAATAATTACTGAAAAGAAATTGTAAATTTTTTTTATTTTTTTTTATTTTGAAAATATGACTGATTAGTCTATTTGATAATAGATTTAATGATTTCTCTCCAATTTTTGACTTCTGATCCATTGTCATTTTTTAAATTTGATTTTAATTAATTAGTCTCTGTTGAAGCATTTTGTATAATTGGTTTAATGAACTATTTTTTTTTTTTTTTTTTTTTTTTTCCTTCTTTCATCAGTGGTTGCATTGCTCATTACATGTAAGCCAAGAATTGGAGCATTTATACCCGACCAGCCATTCTGAACCTATTTTATCAAGGGAATCTGCACCAGGCCTTATTATTGCTTCAGGGACAGTTGGGAGTCGTATTAAACAATACCACCAGAATATCTTCCTTTCTATTGATGCAGGACTCACATGGCATGAGGTCAGTTGGTTCTTCATTCAAACTCTTCAACTGGAATTTTCAGTTATTAAGTTATTTTTTATTTCTATTAATATAGTTTTTTGAAAATTCATTTTGACACCTGAATTTATACAAACATTATAAACACTGACTTAACAGGACCTGGAATAAAGTAAAAAAGAAGAAAAGCCTGTTGTCTATCAATTCACAGGGCAATTTTTCCTTCTTTATACAACAGGAAATTTCTTTGTTTTGATAATTTTCAATTTAAAGTTGTATGTTCTTTCAAGTAAGCTGTCACTTTTGTCTTTTATTGGCTTCTGAAAACATCTGGACAAGACCATAATTGTTAGGAATGGTAGTCTGGCTGGGGTTTTGAGTTTTATAGACACTAAACTTTTTATAAATAAGACTTTCTTTTAGATTAAAATTTAAATGCATTACAATATTATCTTAACCCTGGAAAATAAATATAAGGTAATTCTGCTTTCAGTATATTCCACTGCCACTTATGCTAGGATTTTTAGCCCATTTGTATGTTTCTATCCTCAAATCACTTTTTTTTCTTTGCTGCATTTTATAAAGATAATCCTTTCTTGCATTCATTCATTTAGTCTGCTTATGTCATAACAAAAGCACTGGTGACATAAACAGACATTACAGACAAAACACACACACGTGTGTGTGTGTGTTAGAGAGACTGGATATAGTCACCATGCACTCTTGATTCCTATACCCACACTGTCTATACATAGAAAATCTACCTCCCCTCTCCTATAGAGAAAATTTTAAACATATATATATATAAATATATATAAATGTTTTCATTGTAGTCATCAAATGAATTGTCTTTCTGAAAAGGGTTGGTTCTTTGAGGTGAGAGGCATTGTCCACAGTGAGTTTTTGCCACAGGGCCAGATGACCAATCAGCAAGTTTACAAAGAGATCCTGTGGTGTTTGTTTCATTCAGTGTGCGAGAAGTGACTAAAATTGTGGCTACTTCACCATGACAATGCACCTGCTCACAACACGCTGAATATCCGGCAATTCCTGGCTGCGAAGAACATCACCATACTGGAACAACCACCCTATTCACCTGATGTTTCTCCATGTGACTTTTTTATTTTCCCCAAGTTCAAGGGGATCATCAAGGGGAACTATTTTGAAGGTGTGGAAACCATCGAGAGGGCCATAACAACAGAGCCAAGGGGTATCCAAGAAGAATCCTGTAAGCAGTGCATAGATCCGTGGCAGAGAAGGATGGAAAACTGCATTAGACTTGAAGGGGGATCACTTTGAAGGCAGGGACCATGTAGTTTTTTGGAATTGAAATAAATTGTTTGTGACACCAGACCAGTTACCTTTCAAACAAACCATTTATCATCAGAATTAATGTTATGGTAATTGTTAAAAATCTTAATCAGTCTGTTATCTTATCTCATTATTTTTGCTTTATTAAATATTCAGTTTAATATGTCATGTCTATTTGATTGAGAGATGTAGATTCTGAGGGAGGGATTAAACTATTTTTGTTCTCATATTGTAATTGGTTATTGAAAAGTTCCAAGGGAGTTTCTTGGTAGCATTTGTTACAATAAATTTTACTTGAAAGGGCATGCTGAAGATCTTACTAAATCTTTCTTGGTTATTATAACAAAAATTGCCACTTGAACTCTATTTTAAAATGACAATATAACTGAGTATTTAATTATTTAATTTCAGATCTTGCTAGATGGTCATTTTTTCACATTTGGTGACCATGGAGGCTTAATTGTTGCCATTAAACAAGCTACTCTCACAGATACTGTATTGTAAGTTGAATTTTTTTATTTATATTATTTTGTCAGAATAAATTAGCTGCTAAATATTATTTTAATAGTCACATAATTGGTTCTTGCTTATTGCTCTACAATGTTTTCAATTTTAAACATTGTATGTTACAAAGATTTTTGTATAAGTTAGTGGATTTGAGTTTTACTAGGTTTTTTTTTTTTTTTTTTTTTTTCAATTTGGCTTTTTTTTATCTCCAATGTTTAAGCTGTTTTACAGTCTATAACTAGTAATAAATGAAAATAGGATGAAAGAAAAACTATCCAATAATAAGACTTGAGAGATTTGAATAAAAGGTAAAGAATGTTTAAAAAATTTTCAATTTAATGCTATTTTTCTGTAAGTTGAATTTTACCACATTTTCTTTTGGCTTCCTTCTGAATTTGTTTTTCAATAAAAAAAAAAAAAAACATTTTAAAGAACCTTTTTAAAAGATTAAATAGAAAGTTGTAAATGTCGATCTACCAATGCAGTAGGTGTTTTTGAGGGTTAATTTATTTTTATTTAGTATTTGATTTTTTTTTTTTTTTTTTTTTTTTTTTTTAAATTGATTGAATATTTGTAATTCTGTTGTCTTTGCTTATACATTATCTAAATGATTTAGGTATTCATGGAATAATGGAGAAACCTGGACCTCACTCAAAATTACTGATCGTAAAATTTGGGTTTATGGCTTGTTGACAGAACCAGGAGAAAAAACAACTGTTTTTTCAATTTTTGGATCATATGCCGAAAAACATGAATGGTTAATTGTACAAGTAAATCTCAGTTCAATATTTAGTAAGTAGAAATGAAACTTTTCCTTTTGTTTCTTTGAAATTTTCATTAAAGATTTCAATCTTACCCTTCAGAGTCAATGAAATCAGAACATCTGGTGACAAAGTTTTATAACTTAACTTTTTGGTTTAAAACCAGATTAAAATACCAATATTTCTGTTGCTCATTTAGTGATAACCTCAGCATTTCACTAAAATAAAATGATTCCATTGAGTCATGGCATCCATGTAAATGATTATACCCAATAACTTTCATCATTGTCTAAATTTCTGCGATGTAGAGTTATTTACATTATTTATATTTAGAGCAATATCCTCATTTTTGTTATCACAACTTTTTGATCCTTGTGCCTCCCGTCTTAAGGCACCTAACTTATTGGATTAAAGCATTGGGTCATGATTTTGGTGGAGGAAAAATTGTGAGTTCAATCCTTGCTCAGACTTAGACGCAGTGGAAACAGTAAGCACTACCAAAACAAAAAAAAAGATATCCATAGATGTGAGCAGTGGGACAAGAATTGATATCCATAGATGTGGATTGAAATGTTCAGCTTGAAGGTTACTTGCATCTGAAGTAGGTCTGAAGGTGCAATAATTGAAATGTAACGACAACAAAGATGAAGAAATTAGTCCTTATATAAATGACCATCCAAATGTTGCCTTGGAGCCAACATCCAACTAAATCTCAGCTCTATAGACCCATCCCTGATATTTCTACAATCTTGCAAAAATGCAGAATGAGCTTTGCAGAACTCTGCTGATAAGCAAAACAAGAACTTGATTGATCCATTGCTCTGGACACCTAGTCATGGTACAATACTGGTTGGTTACCCAGCAATTGCCTACACTGACCAGCTGTTATGACACAGAATGCCACCCTAATGAGCTTCTGACCTTGATGCAGGACCATAATGGTTAGTATGTTGACTCATGAACGTCTGAGCTTGCTTGACTGGGGATGGGGAGGAGGGGAATATATATATATATATATATATATATATATATATATATATATATATACACACACACACAAAAGTCAGGGAGAATAGCACAGATAAGAAAAAAAATTTTTTTCTTGTTCTTCACACTTTGTTTTATATATTTTTGCATATATTTATATATATACTTTTACGATGTCCATTCTTAAAACCCTAATAATTAGTGATATTATTTCCTGTGGTTGATTGTTTTTGTTTAGTTCCATATCAATCTCTATTGGTTATTTAATACCAAAATCTAAATGTATAAATTTTATTTTATTTTTTGAGATAATAATTGTTTAGTGATACAAGTCTTAGTAATTAGCCCATAGCTTGGGAGAGAAGTGGATTCATAGCTTTTCCCAGGTCATTTGCACATAAGTAAATATAATAAACCCAACTGGAATTAAAACTCGGCTCTCTGATTAACAATTCCGAGCCATTATCCACTACACCACCCACAAATATAAGCTTACAACACCTGGTTTTCCCAAGTGGTCACCCATCTAGGTACTGATGTTGCTTAACTTTGTGATTGTATGGGAACCAGGGTTTGAACTTGATGTGACCATAAGCCTTTGCCTGAGGGTACAGTAGCTTAAATGTTGTAACAATAAAACCAACAAAGATGAGAATGGCAGTCAAAATTAATCAGTGTAATATATTCTATCACATTTACAATATAGTCCTGAGCATGATGATAAACTACATCTCGCAGCAAGGTTTCTGAAGAGTGTGGAACCACCTCTTAATTGCTGCTGTTTCCAGGTTCACCCTGACTCTGAGTTGGTAGCACCTGTTAAGGTTCCCAGCTATGGGTGAATAGTTAACCCCCAAACTGGGATTAAAACATTATGAAAGTATACAAATACATTTTTATCATAAAAATAGCAGCAATACATTTTTGTAAAAGAAATTACTAATGTTCCCAAGAAAATTTAATTTCAGCATTAAATGACCCATAGGGGTTGATATGTTGCTAAACAAAATCAGCCAACCACCATCTTACATGTAAAGTACAGTGTAAGTCCAAGCAACTCCTCTGTTGCTACTGGTCCAATTTCAATGATTTATAGCTCATTCTGTAGAGGACTATTGGTTTGGCCATCATCACAATAGCTAGGGAAGAGTAGTTGCGATAGACATCAATAAACTACAGAAGAACTCAAAATTGATCACTGCATTTAAGTATTGAATTAATGTCTTAATTTAAAGATGATTTGATGTACGTAGATCCTTACTTTCTGTACAATTATTTTTATTTCATGGGTCACAGGACATGGGGACAGTTTATAAGATAAAATTAATTAAGTGTAGAGATGGGGAAAATAAGAATTAGTTATACATTCAATATTTGAAGAGTTAATAGCTAATTAAGTAAAACCTATATTATGGAATCTATATGAATAAATGCAAAATTTGAGCACAGTTATTAAACAAATTTCAGGGTTAAAAAGCCCCAATTCTATAGTAATTTGTATGCAATATTAACTCCTTCCCCCCCACTTGGACAAGATGTGACACAAGGTAGATTTTAGGTGGGGGACCTGAGCGTGTACACCTCGGACAAGCACAAAAATTGCCCTTGGCCCCTCCAATTTGGTTGCGCTGGCCTCGGTGCGAGCACTGATCCCTTCCTCTGGTGCAATGGGAGGGTGTGGCCTTGGGCAGCTGTTCCCCAGGGCTGGGCACCTCTTGGTATAATTTTCTCAGTTTCCCCTCTGTCCTTTGCCCAAAGACAGAGACGCAACTGAGATGATAAGCCTGCGTTACGCTAAAAGCTCAATATCTGTATTATATATTATCTACTTCTACGTGATATCACTCTTCAGGTTTAGCTAATTTGCATATTGCTTTTAAAAAAGCATATTTCATTAATTAACTGTCCTTTATTAGTATTCTTTTATTCAAGGAATGTTTTGATTTTTATATCTAAAATAGTTCTGTTTAGGAGTATTGTCTTGTATAGTGCAGACAAGTGTTTGAAATTTGCATTTGACTTGGCCTTCAACAAGTTGGAAACTATTTGTAAAACTTTCCTTAACTATAACAAGTTAATTTATTATTAAAATGTTCATTTAAAATTTTTCTTTCAAAGAATTCAAGTAGTGAATATGTATTACTATGTGAAGTGATAACAAGCAGTCAAAGCCTGCGAGTTTACAATGTTATTTCTTATCTTGTTTTATTTCGCATCTCCTCTTGTTAAAGTTAAACCATCAAGAAATGAATAGAAATTAAAATTTCTGCCTACCAGTATTAAAATCTGTGACTGCTACTTGCACAATTCATAATTTCTTTGTGATCTGTTTCTTTAAAGAAAATAAGGGAAAGGATAAAGTATGAACTGTTATTTTCCTTTATGTATCACACTTGAAATTATTTTTATTTGTTCTTTGCAGCGACTGTCTGCAGCAAAGAGGATTACAAGTTGTGGTCTTTGTCTGATGCTCTCTTGGAAGCAAAAGGAATCCGTGGGTGTCTACTTGGCAGGAAGGACATCACTGAACGGAGAGTTCCACATGCCAAGTGTTACAATGGGGAAGATTACATCAGGCCATTTACAGTTAAAAATTGTTCCTGTACACGAGAAGATTTTGAATGGTTTGTTTGATTAATTTATATAACCTCATCCTCATTAAGGAATAAATTTCACCTCCCCTCTCCCTGCATGACCTGTTTTTAATGTCTACCAATTAAAAAAAAAAATGGGCCTTTTGTCATCCCTTGTTTGGTTTTGTTTTGTAGCACCACAAATTTAAAGGTGATTCTAGTAGCAGCAAGATTATCTCTTTACTGTCTTTGGTAAAAATCCTTTCTATATGTTTGTGTCTTGGATGTTCACAAAGAATATTCCTTGCATGTTGTTCTGACAATCTAGACAAGTCACTGTTGAATAATGGTAGCAACATCACCTCCCATCTCTGATATTAATATGAGAACACACCTACAAAACTGTTTTCAAATAGTTGCATCTATCCAATTTCACTCAAAATGCTTGGGTCAACTCTTGCAGGCTCATCCCAACATTACCACATACTGAGTTTGTCTTCTCCATTACCACATATTGAGATCATCTTCTTCCGATATTACTGAGATCCTTGACAAATGATCATGGTGAAATTTGAACAGGTGTTACTTGGCTATAGCACTATTTAGCAAAATAGTTGCAGTTGAAATGAAATCTCTCTTTGTCTCTCTGTCTCTGTCTCTCATGGAGTCGTTTCACAGTGGAGGCTTGTATTTGTACTGTCGGTCCTAAAATAGGTTCGACATACAAAACATTAGGAACTTGATATAATAGGTATGACACAGTAAATCTAGTTGTGGTCACTGATACTTTAGTATCCGACTAACGGTCGTCTGGCATCGACTGACTGCCCGACCCACTGAGCAGCTCCTCGTTACTATTACTACTCCTACTTATTATAGGTGGGAGAGTCTATTAACTATAGAATAGGTGTGTTCCACTATAACTCTGTCTCTCTCTAATTTTGATTAAATTAAAATCACCTTTTTGCAGTTGGCTTCATATTTTCATCTAGATAAAATAAACAATCTTCCTATCTCTGCTGAGTGAACATTTTTTTTCTTTTTTTTCTTTCTTAGTGATTATGGTTTCAAGTTGAGAAGCAGACGCAGCCACACTTGTGTGACTGACCCCAACAAAAATCTTGACATCCACAAAATTCCTATCCCCTGCCCACCTGGAAATTATTATTCTTATACCAAAGGGTATGTAGTACACAATTCTGCCTTCATTTTTTTTTTTTTTTTTTTTTTTAATCACTGATTATCTTATCTAGTAAGCTATTGTAACTTTTTACCAGAATATCAGAGTAATTACCTTCACAGTTAACTTAATTTTTCTATTATGGCACTATTTAAACAAACTGGTCCACGTGTGTGTGAGATATACATATGTTTTTCCAGATCTTCATTCATTAGATCTTAATAAATTTGCCAAATGAAAAATAGATTTTTCACTTTAGAAGGGAGGCATTCATTAGCACATGCACAAACAATGGTGAATAATTATTATCTATCTTTTAATGAAGAGTAAACAGATACACATTTTTATTTCTGCAAATTTTTGTTCTTTAATTAAAAATGTGTACATACGTTTCTTAAATAAAAAGAATTTTTGTAAAAATAAAAAAAAATAAGTTTCACCTGATAAACAATTGCTTATTTAAAATATGTATATATCTGCTTTTCTTTAATAAAAACTTATATACCATATATTTCTGCGTATAAGACCTTTAAATCCAAAAAATCACCCTTAAAAAAAATGGGTGACGTCTTATACTCCAATTCTAAAAAAGAAACCTGAAATTCTGTGTGATGTTTGTTGGTGGGCTAACCTCGGCCTTGGTGTGATAACCAATAGCATACATTATCAAATGAACTTATAATAAATGTAATAAAACTATTTCTACTATCTATATATTACTGGCATAACTTCATAATAAATTACCTATTCAAAGAATAATTCCATATCAATGAAATCAACTTAAGCCCAGCTGAAAAAATGTAAACATTGAGTTATAATTGTGTTCACAGCAATGGAATGTACTATTATTGTACTGATTATTAATGGTATTTTTTGATTGCTGATGAAATATATGTAAATGGCCATTAGTACACCAGGTTGATTGTATAACAGTTTCAATATAGGAAAGAGAAGAAGAATCAGTATTTGCAAGAGATCATGTGATGAAATGTAAACAAAACAATGGTTTCATTTTTAGTGGACATGTGTAGGGAAAAACATAATATAGAATTGGTATTATTTTGTTTATTTTGAATTTCTAAGGATAACAGTAAAAGTAACAACATTTCCAATAACATCATCTCTATATAATAGATAAGCAGTCCTCTTATACTACAGGTATAGGATAAATTCGTGAAAATTCGCTATATTTTTTGACCATGTCTTATCTAAAGGTTGCCTGCAATGCAGAAATATACGGTATTTGTGCTTAATGCCAAAAGATCTTTTTGTAAAAAAAAAAAAAATTATATTTCTCCAAATAATTGCTATTTCTTAAATATTTTCCTCAAATAAAATTATATGTCCATTTGATCTTTATTTAAATAAAAATAAAATTATCAAAAATAAAAAGCAGTCTTCATATACAGAGATCAATGACCTAAGCACATTTTCAATAACTCATTAAAAAATCAGCAATACTCTAGATCGATTTTGTGAACAGATCTTTCTGAAATGATAAAACAAAAAAAAAAATTTGCAGGGTTCTGACAAATGAAGATTGAATGAATGTCAATCTGCAAAAAGTATTTCCCCCCAAACATTTTCAAGATTTTTTATACAGGTTAATCAGTCTAGTTAAATAGTACCTTTGTTATAACTTTCCAAGAAACTTAAAAAATCATTAATAAGGATTTTGTCATACAAAAGGAACTTTACACTTTGACTTTTTTGAAGAGAATGTTTTTTTTTTTTTCTTTTTACTTAAAACTTTACTGCCCTAACTTTGAGCTAAGATTGATTGGAAAATATTTACAGATGTCCATGTCTTTTATGTTAAATGTAGTTCATATTTAGCACATTTGTTTAAACTTTCAATTGAATTTTTTTATACTAAAAATATTTCTTAAAACTGAAAGATGAAAATTTATTGACTGATATTCAACTGCAATTTCCTTTGTTTTGTAGACTTGTGTATTTTTTTTAATTATTTTTTTATTTTTTTGTTTTGTTAATTTCAACAGATATCGTCGTATTGCTGGAGATACTTGTCAAGGAGGACAGGAACTGATGTATGCCCCACAGATGAATTCTTGTCCTGTTACTAGTATGGACCCCCTTTTTTTTTTTTTTTTTTTTTTTACTTTTTTTTTTTTTTTTTTTTTTTTTTTTACTTTTTTTTAATTCTTCCTATCAGTTTTAAACATAAAATCTGTTATTACTGCTTTAAGGATTTTATTTTTTTATTCTCTGGCATCTTTTAAATTTATCTTTTGTTTTTTTTCTTCTCTTCTAACAGAAATGCCTGAATTTCTATTGTATGCTCAACGCAAAATGATTCATCGATATATCTTTGGAAAAAATGAAAACGATATTCTTGTACAAAATGGACTTGTTGAAGCAGTTGTCTTAGATTTTGATAAAGCAGACAATTGTCTCTATTGGGCAGATTTAGCCACTGACAATGTCAAGGTTAGTTCAGTTTGTTTTCTTTGTCTGCATGTATTGCATCGTTGAATGATTTGATGTTCACTTTGTCCAATCATTTCCAAGATGGAGAAGGTGGTTGGATTTGAACTTAACCCCTTTTGTTTTCATTTTTTTTTTTTTTTCCCAATAATTTTTATACATTGAATTGTTTGGGCCAGTGTGAAGAACTTATTGCATAACATAATTGTTAAAAATATCTTTAAAATCGTTTTCAAAAACAGAAATATTCTTTAAATCTATGAGGAGGCATAGAAAAATCTTTGACCCAGAGACTATCCCTCACCTCTACCACAAAGGAATTTATAACTTCAAATTAATCGTTCTGTAAAAGTTTATACCAAATAAATAACTTCTGGAAATACTGCCTCCATGAGAAGAGGAAGTAAATACCAAATATCACAATCACAAAACCCCTTGGGAGTCGTAGGGGGCACCACATCTACTGTAGCCATAGCAGCAGGGGTGTTTCTTGCACAAGACAGCCTAACAGAGCCCAGCTTGCTCCAGGCTGGTTTGAAATCAGAGATTTCTTTCTCTTAGACTGCTTGCCAACCAAGATTATAGGGCCCAATCTGTCCTGCTATTTAGCCATAGTGGGGTGTGGAGATGTATTCATGCCTTTCCCCAAGGGTATTAGCACATAAGTGACTGTAGTCAACTTGCCTGGAATTTTGAACTCAGCTCTCCAATTCTTCAATCTGAAGTACTCTCCCCTTACACCACCAAGCCTCCAAAAATATCAATAACTTGGGTAAAAAAATTATTATTCAGAGATTACTTGAGAAAGTGATGGTTGAGTATGAATATGCACAACATTCATTATAATAAGAGTATACCAAGCACATGCATCACAGCCAAATGTGTGCAATATAGTGACAGCATTGATAAAAGCAATGCTGAAACTTATAGATGGGGCCCAGCTAGAAATAAGATTCAGGCAGCCTCTGATTGAGAATATTACCAAGTATATTGATGTTAATCAATATACTTGATAATATTCTCATTCTCTGTTGTTTTGACTGCCTGTTCCTTCAAATTCAAAAAAAAAAAAATTACTAATCCTTGACATTCAATCATGATGCCACTCTCACTATTTCTACTCAGAAAGAGAAGAACTGTGTATCAGCTCTTAGGTTGCTGGGGTGGAGACATGCCCAAATGGTTAGTCAGGATACTGACAAGCAAATTGGGTACTAAGTGGAATTTTTACTGTAGCCCATCTTGGTTTACCAAAACAAAACCTTTATATTTAATACCTACAAATACTTAAGAATATAAGTCTTCAGAACCATACCTGGTGCATTATCATCATCATCACCATTTATTTAACATCATCATCATCACCACCATTTATTTAACATCGTTTATTTATTGTTTTTAAAAGTTTGTGTGAAACAACATGAACTTTGAGCTGTTAAAACTACAAATTCAGAACACGAACTTCGAACTAACATCACTTGTATTGTGAGCACATTTTTCACTCAAGAAAATCACAAATGAGGACTTCTGTCCTGTGCTTGACTTAAGTATACCAAAGTTATTTGCATGAACAGTGGTAGGGTGCTACTGAATATTTGTTGGTTATTGTTACAATAAATGCCTGCTAATTGCAGCTATTTTTCCTTTCTGTACTCTCTACTCTGGTTTCTTGATCATAATACCAACACGTCTTTTTGAATCAGAAGTATGGAAAATTCTCTAATTCCTTAGGGCATTTCTGAAAAATACTTGATCATCATTTTCCTAATAGTCATCATCTAAATGGTCATTGTTGTCATCAAACACTAAACACTGACAGATTTCATCTTCATTTGATGTTTCCTTGTCATGCATTGACTCAAAAAAGTAGGGAAGGTGGAGATCTTTCACATGGTACAGCATCCCCGTCAACTTGGAGACTTAAGACTCCAATAAGCTTTCCCAATTTACATCAAGTTTTACATCGTTCTGGTTAATTTCTCGTTAACACAGTGTCCCCTTCTTTGTAATACAGCTTGAAGCTGCTGCATCACATTTAGAGAATCTTGTCAGTATAATGGTCATCAGATAGCAAATTGTATTGGCCCACAGTGTATCTTTGTCCAGTAGTGGGCACCACTGTAGTGAGTTATATCCATCTCTAGTCTGCACCACATACTGGGCACCTCCAGTTTTTCATTCTACCAACAGATTGGTACTGGATCAATTGCTGAGCCCTCCATACATATTTTGATGGTCCGATCTGACTGCTTTTTCATAAGTGGAAGGCACAACTCTTCTGACAAGGTAAAGTGGTCTGATTAACCTCTGGATTCTCACTGTGTGAATGTATTTGCAGTATTCAGCTGGTCTCAATTTTATCTTTGGTTGTGCCACAAACCTGCAGTCCAAGTTTAGCTTTATTCTTCATTGCCTCAAGCAACCTCTGTAGAATTCTTGCTATTCTGTTTGCTTTGTTTTAGCTCAATTTGACCAATGTGACATCTACTACCAAACGCTACTCTTTCACAAACTCCAAAAAGCCCTCCAACTTTCTCCTTAACACCTCACATCTTGCTCATAGCCTTACTAACTCTTGTCTTACCGGTTAGAATATTAGTAAGCCAGAGATAAATGCACAAAGTCTTTTATTAAATGGAGAATCTTTACCTCCCACTGTATGGCTGAATTTACGCCCTTTATTGTCCAACTCTGCAAGGTTGATGTGCTGTATGTCCGATTCAGAAGGTAGCCAGTATGCATTTTAAATGGCAGACCCGTTCTCCTCTAGTAATACTCCGGCTGCCAAAGAATTTGTGTCCACTAACACCAACTTGGCCTTTTCGATTCATTCTACAATGAACTGGTTGGGTTTCTTAACCTCAAACTCTGGTATGAGTTTGAGATCATATTTATCTGCTGTTTGGACAAATGCTGAAAAATTTAAAAATTTTGTGTGAACTACTACAAACACAAACCTCAAGCTGTCTTGATTGAACCCCTTCAGTTGCAACAAAACACTTGATTGTTGGAAATTTGGAACACAAACTTTGAACTAACACATTTTATGATGAGTGTGCTTGCCATTTGAGAAAGACCACAAACAAACTGAGAAACTCTGTCTTGTGCACAGCTTAAATATATCAAAGTCATTTACATAAACAGCAGATGGAATCTGCTGAGTACATGGCTGTTTCTGCTGCAATAAACACATACTAATCATGGCCATATTTCCTTGCTATATCATCATCATTTATTTAAATCCTTTTTCTTGTTAAGCTTCTTTTTATGTTAAAGATCATTTAAATGTTCCAATATAGAATTACAAGAAATGTTTTTCTAAATCTGTAAAAGCAAAATGATATTAATAATAGCTAGTTTTAACCTGTGAAAATTTAACGATTTTCTAATTTTAATTTTCTGATTAATCTTAATTCTTAAGTTAATGATTGAGTAAGCTCATTGCAAGTTCTACGACAACAAAATATCCATAGAAATTCCCCTATCGCATCATTAAATATTTGTGCTTAACAATTTTAACAAAATATTGCAATAACAATCATAAATATGAATGCTGGTCGTTAACCACTTTTATCTTGCCTTTCATTTTCTCACTGAACCCAAGTAGTGTCTTTTCTCTTTTTTTCCATGTGATCAAACCAGAATAGTTCATTATTTATGAGGTATTGGCAGGACATAATGGTCGTGTAAACTGATGAAGGGAGGGATGAGCATAATTATAATAGGCTGATGCAGGTACTAACAGTTATTCCATTGCATTAAATACCTTTTGATTTTATTGTTTGTTTGTCTTTCTTTTCAGCGATTATGTTTGGATGGGAATCACAGTGTTGAGATTATTGTCGAAGACAATGTGAAAGCAATTGAAGGCTTGGCTTATGATTGGACAGCTGGAAATATATATTGGATTGATTCAGAAGCACAGAAATTGGAAGTTGCTCGAAAAAATGGTCAATTTAGACGTACCCTTCTTAATGGCACTACATATTTGGATAAGCCACGCTCATTAGCACTTGATCCCCATTTTGGGTAAGTTTTCATGCTTAACAATCAAAAAATAGGGTTGATCAGAGTGGAACCCACAAACCTTATACCCCCCCTCTTTTTTTATAAAAAAAAAAGGTATTTTGCTTTTAAATCTAAATAAATCGTTCATTTGGCAGTAATTTACGCATCAAAACACAATTGCAATTGTGTAGTGATTTTGACATGTTTTCAGTGTAATATCCTAAAATAAATAATATTGCTCTACTTTAAATCCCTTCATTAAAGTTTAAAAGCCCTCTTTTAAATTAAATGTTACAAATGTTGAGGTTGTACTCTATTTGTTCTCATCTTACCTGGAGATATATAAATAAAAATGTAGTTCATTTATCTGATCTCTTCTAAATACTGGCAGACTTCTTATATGTCTCTTAGAAACATAAAATATAAAAAGTCCCTTCTCATATGCTACTCAAGTTTCACCCAATCTAGTGAGCAATCTATATATTGAGCAATCTTTTTTCCTTTTAAACTGCTGTTTTTTTTTTTTGGTTTTTTTCTTTTTTAGGAATTGGTTATTCAACTGACTTTTCAATATAAACTCTTTATTTTCAAATGATGCTGAAAACTTGCAAGACACTGAACAAATATTGCAAAAATCTACGAAATTTACGAATTACTTTCCTGATTGAATGCCATGTTTTTAATTTTGAAAATGTTGAAGTGGAATTTTTATCACCCAAGCAAATATGCTGATATTATATTTTTTATTTTTTTTGTACTTCACCCTGATGTAATGATTAATGAGCAAATTTTGGAGTGTATTAATACTGGAATGGGTTTGATCTTTGAAAAGCCTGTTTTTAACCTTTATTCCAGATTGAACTTCATGGTTAGCCATATAAATCATCTTTTCCTCCTGTAGGCATAAAATTTTAGGTGATCATGGTTCTCTACAGTTTTCTTTTCTTTAAACTGTGTATTATTCTTGGAGAGAGAAATAGTTGTTTTCTAGATTCACTATCTTCATTTTTTATTAATTACTGTCTGGTAGAATTTTAATAATTTAGATACAAATATTGTGAAGCATTTTAAATGCTTCTCTCCTTAAACGCTTCTCAAACTTATTCTGTTCCTGGCCAATATTGGCTAGCTTGCTAGTTTCCTACATTAAAAGAATTGGAACTTTTGAAAGTATAATGAATTTTATTTTATTTTTTTTTCCGCAGCTACTTATATTGGACTGACTGGTCATCCTCCGTCCCCCGTATTGGAAAAGCAACAATGGATTGTCGTAATATTACCTACATTGTGAAAGGCAAAGAGAACTTAGTCTGGCCCAATGGCATAACTATTGACCACCAGATGGGTCGGCTCTACTGGACAGATGCCTACCTTGATCAAATCGTATCTTCAGATTTAAATGGTGCTGATCGGAAAGTTGTGGTCAGTGGCAGTGAAATCCCTCACCCATATGCCATTGTAGTTTATAAGGTAAATAGATCTATTCTCTTTATTTTTTTTATTCAAGAAGGATTTTCAAGTTATTTATATGATCTTAAAAATGTAATTTTTCTTTCAATTTACTATATTTACTATTACTTCAGTTCTTTTCTTCATTCAAGTATCTCAATATTCTACTCCATTTAATATTAAGTGTTGGCAATGCCAAACACCAAAAGCTGTCTAACTTGGATATTTCTGGATAAATGGTAAATTCCTTTGATCCTTATGCATTGATCATTATTCCAAAAGAGATGATAGATGAGAAATTGAGATTTTCAATGAATTTGATTGTGTGACCATTAATACGTTAATAGTCCTTGGTTTGAGGATAAACTACATCTGGCAGCAAGGCCTCTGATCAAGAGATTGGAGGTTTTGAGGAGTGTAGAACCACTTCATAATTGCTGTTGTTCCCAGGTCCACCCTGTAGCATCTGTTAGGGTCCCAGCTATAAGAAAACAGTGTTTTGACTTTTGTTTGGTGGTTCAATAAGAGGGTATAAAAATACATTATGGTCAAAATACCAGTAACATTTTTATAGCAAAATGACAATCAATACAGCACTAAAGTATAAAAATATATATTTTTATTGTAAATATATTTTTATCATATCTGAACCGTATATCTAAAAAACTTATGTTTGCCCTGAAAGTTTAAAATTATGTACAAAATATCTGGAGTGGAAGCCATAAAATTGCAAACAAAATATTTAGCTTTTGTCATTAAATAAATTATAGAGGTTGATGTACTGCTAAACAATAACAACCAAATTAATATATTAGAATTTCTTCTGGCTAATTCCTTTCTTAGATGCGGAGTTATTTACACACGGACTAATGTTGTTATCCAAATGATTTGGCCATTGTGTTTTCCAGCCTTTTTTTCAGGTGTCTGTTGATCCATGTTGCCTTCAAGGAATTTCTAACTGAACTCTTTACTTAATCTCTCAGGGTAGATTGATCTTATTCTAAAAGCTTTAAAATGAGAAACTGGAGAGTCAAGTTTGAATTCCAGTTGAGTTATATTCACTTATATGCAAATACCCTTTGGAAAGTTATGAATACTTCTCCTCCCAGCTATGGGTTCAATTGTAAGTCTTGTATCAGAAAATCACTATCTCCAAAAATGTTTTGGCTTTAAATAACCTCAAAAAGGTTGATAAGGTGTAAAGAAAAACAATCAATAATTCTGTTCACTTATTTCTTGCCACCCCATTTCTACAGTCTACGCCTGTACTACCTGGGCCCAAGAATTGAACTTGGAACTACAATGCCACTAAATTCACAAACCAGTATGTTAATCCACTAAGTCATTGTCTGCAGGCAGAAAATACTGTATTGAATAGCATAACTTCTTCCCATCCAACTTCTTTTAATTTTGTTGTATACAAAGTTTGTCTGTTAGTGTTAGGCCAATGTTTACCCGAATGCCCCCCCCCCATTATTTGTACATGGCCTAACACCTTAAATGTAAATCTGTATGGTAGAATATTATTTCTTGGTAATTTACTTAAGAGTAATTTTCATAACATTTTTTTTATTTATTTACTTATAATAAGAATAATAATTGTGAAACTTGTAAATAATATTTTCTAAAGTTTTTTTTTTACTTTTCATAAATTTTTTTATTATTTTTTTCTTTTTTCTTTATTTTTATCTTTATTATTTTTATTTATTTTTTTTTATTTCTTTTGTAACAAATTTGATATTAATTTCATTTGTTTCTCAGCCAATTTTTATTTCTGCACATGATTATTTCCTTTATCTCTTTCAGGAAAATATTTACTGGACAGATCTAAGCAGACATGCCTTGTTGACTGCTAACAAAAATACAGGATATGGTGTATCTCTCTTCAAACAAAATATCATTGGTATTACTGATTTAAAAGTTGTACATCAAATATCACAGAACAGTAAGTAAATATTTTAAACTGTATTAAAATTTTATTGAATATGTCTCAAGAGGAAAAGTCGGTACATATATAAAAACAGTATAGTTTTAAAGTATGCTATATTTATGGGTAAGAGTGCTCAATATCAGGGATAGAGTGTATGTAAATAGAAAAGTGAACGCTGAGGTAAACAAATCTCAAGCAGTTGCAGTCTTTCACATTTGAATGCAATCTTCATGCCATGTGTATTATATTTTGGCTTGACTATATGTGTTGGTCAGTTGTGTATTATGCATTGTAAGGTCTATTGTATTATCTTGATGGTTATTGTGTGGATGGTAATGGTTATGTTTGAAATTGTTCTAGAGGTTATTGAGTAGATGTGTGTGTGTGTGTGAGTGATAAAATGACTGGAAAATATAGGAAGAAATATGTAAAATAGAATATGTGAAAAAAACAGTTGGATGTTTATAATTTTGTTTTATACTTCAGTAAGAATATCAAAATAAAGAAAGAAAAATCATTATGACAAACTTGCTACTTAGAAAAGCTGTGGTTAAATTGCAAATTTAACACTTAATAAAATTAAAAATATTTGAACAAATCAAGGAGTTTATACTTAAACTGTTAAATTAAAATATAGTGATTTGATATTGGAAAATAAATCTATGTAAATGATACTAGTGAAGACATAAAATTATAATTTATTATTTAAATGCTAAGGAAAATATAGAATTATAATAAAAATTCGTAATAAAATTAGGATGCTTAATCAGTACCTGTTTTAATATTTTCTACAGTTTCATATAAAATGTGCATGCATTTTCTTTCAATTTTGATACAATGTTTATACATAGACTAATATTTTAATTTTTAGTTTTATGTGACTTTTTGGGCAATGAATAATTTTCCACTTTACAACCCCCCCGGAATACATCATAAGCCTTTCACTACTTCTATGGAAAATGTTATTACGAGTTTAGTTCCACTAGTTCTGAATTTCACAGCTAAAACCTGATATGCCATGCACACTGGAACAAATCATCCTCATTCGCATCATATTCCATTAGTAAAGAGGAAGTTCCATTTAGACAGTTTCTTTCCAAGAAGCTTTATCCTGAGAGAATGTTTTCCCAATCACTAAAATCTTAACCTGTTCAAATCTTGGGTTAACTGTTATCTTCTATACATATCATCATAAACCTGCTCTCCTTACCACCTCCTGTTACATTCATACATCATTTAGTAACCCTCTACCTTGAGTAGCTCTTATTAAAAAAAAACAAAACAAAAAAAAGAAATAGTCCAACGCATTTCTCATATTCCTTTGAATGTAAGTGACCTGATGAATCAACAGTTGATTTGAAAACCACTTATGATATTTGAGCATTTTCTATTGTCTATTAACTTCACTGTTGCTATCATAGATTATTTATGATGTAAACAAATAATTTAACAACTTTTATTTCATTACTCATATTACTTCAAAATTCTTATTATAAAGTGAAGTGTGTCAACAACACAATCTGATTGTTATTTGAGATTCTAGTCTCTGTAGAAATTAATTGATTCTACAAATAATCATGTAAAATTTGGCCATATAACAACTCTTGAAGGGGGACACAAATGGAACAAATTAATGCAAATGGATTTTCATTGTTACTTGACACAATATTGAATGTTTGGCAGGTTTATCACTTTATGTGGTGGTAGTTGATATTTTTTTTATTTTCTTTATCAACTTGCCCATTTCTTTTATTCTATTAATTTCATATATAAAATTAGTTCAGCATATCTGTTTCTAGAATGCTTCAATATTATTAATTTTATTCTTACCAAATGTTCATCTCATTTTTTACATTCATTACATACAAGTTATTACTTCATGATTCTTATTTTATCATTCTTGATCCCATGCATAACTTCCCCTCTTTGTTGTTCTGGGTGAAAAATAACATTCTAATCCTGTTTAGTATATTTGGGGGCTTTCTAGAATGCAATTCTTGAAATAGTCTTTCTTTTAACCTCATAAGACAACTTTTTTTTTTTTTTTTTTTTTTTTTGACAGAAGCCATAAATATTCTTTGTGCAGTAATTTCAATTAGGAAATTTTGTACACAACAAACTGCGATTTAATTTTAATTCTCAAAGTACGGTGCATTGCATGCATAACCAACTCTTGACTTATTTATCTCCCCTGCTGTGTCCCTCTCCTGTTAGGGAGTGACACCACTTCCTGTAATTTTGAAATCGACAATAAAGTTGTTGTTATGCCTCGCTCCATTTGTACTGATCAGTATGTAATGTAACAAAGTGTTGTGAAAAACAGACCCCCAAAATACACCAAATTAATTATATTAATTAAATCCATTGACTTGTTCTTCACTTGTGAAGGTCAAAGGAAAGTTCTATCTATCAACTACAGTCTCATTTTTTGTTTGCATTAAAGTGAAAATCAGCTTGCATAGACCAGATCCATTGTTTAGATTTAGCAGTCTACTTTCATAGCTTGGTGAGCTGAAACAACCGAGGAAAATTATCTCTTTTTATTTTTTTTTTTTTTTTATTTATTTTTTTTTTTTTGTAAGAATAGCTTTCTTAGTAGAACTGCTTAAATGACCAGTGCCTTAACATCTCTCCTATTTTTCTCAAACCTGTGGTCCTGGGCAACAGGGAGAGATTATCACCCCTCACCAGTCCAGAATCACCTCTATATAGCAAAGTTTTCTGTTCTGTATAAGTAGCAAGATTGTATCCATCATTGACTTCCTGGGCCTGTCACATAGCTTACAGCACCTGGTATTCCTCAGCAGTTACCCATCTGAGTACTGACAAAGTTCAATATTGCTTAACTTTGGTGATTAGATGAAAACCAGTATTCCAACATAATATGGCCATAAGAAGAGAGTGATTCTTGACCTGATTTATTGGAGGTGATGTCTGCATGCTTTTCTCAATGGCGTTTGTACAAATTGGAGCCAAACTGCCTCGGCTAGAATATGAATGGGATTTGCAAATTGCATGCAGGTAACTTGATTAAATTCATATCCCAGTAAATGACTAATGATTATCATGAAATTAAATGGTTGGGCTAGTCTCTATTTTGTCTAGTTCTTCCTAATTTAACAGTGATTACACTTGATGTAAAAAGCATTCTTGAAATCTGATTCTTTTCATGCTTTTTCTTTCAGCTCCCAGTGCATGTTCCATTAATAATGGTATGTGTTCCCAACTGTGCATGCCCAGACCTCATATACAACATGTTGGTCGGAATAACAGAACCTGCTTGTGTGAGAATTACTTTCAACATTCTTTGATTCACTCTGGAGATGAAGACTGTTTATGTCCTCCTGGGGAGAATTACCGGAATGGAAGTTGTATGTTAATGAATGGTAAGCTGTTTACAATCATTTTCTTTTTGTCTACACTTTGATGAAATTCTGATTCAGCCTAGTAAACTTCAATGTTTTTCTTTAAGTGTCTTTCAGCTGTGCCTTACAGTCAACTTTTTTAAACTAAGGCCAATAAATATAATTTTTCATAATAATAAAAAAAAACCTACTTGATTTAGTGTGGTTTTTGGTAAACCCAGTTGTTATTTTTTTTTAATTTTAGTTTTGAGACCTTTATTTGTATTCTCAGATTCCATGCGAAAATTTTTTTTTTTTTTTTACTTTTTTCTTTTTTGTTTTCCTGTCTCTCCTTTTGTCTTTCCTTATTTGGTGACATATTGAGATGAGAGGGACAGAAGGAAATAGTTCCCAACCTAGCTAACAAGTTGTGTAAATAGATGGCACAACAAAAATTACAAACAGCTCTAATGGACAGGAAATTGTGGAGAGCCATGATCGCCCATGCACTGACAGGATATGGCACATAGAAGATATTTGTGAGGAACATTGGACCGACACCAAAACATTTGGTTTCTAATGATTGTGCTCACTTTTTGCATTCTTAACAACCAATCTGTTCAATCACCACTTTATGAAATTATGGCAAACATTTGCTCAATAGATTTTTAGTCTTCAAATTGATTAAAAGAAGCTTTTAATGTAAGTAGATGTCTTAATTTTTTTTTTTTTTTTTTTTTTTTAAACAGCTTTTTAACCTCCAACAATTGTGTTGATGAATAAATCCCTCACTATAAAATTCTTTGAGATCAGGAAGGAAAATCTGAAAGAAAGTTTACATAAAATTAATATTTTCTTGTTTGATAATTTGTAAGTAGTAAGCATTAATTATCGATTATGAATTTTTTTTTTTCTATCACCAGATACCTGCCAAGCCCATGAATTCCAGTGTTTAAATGGGCAGTGTATTCCTTCAGCACAGAAATGTAACCATGAACCTGACTGTTTAGATAACAGTGATGAACTCAATTGTCGTAAGTATCAAATATTTTTATCAAATTTGATGTAGCATGAAAAAAAATTCTTGGTTATCAATTTTTAATCCTTTTTTTTTTTTTTTTCATTTAGAAAGGTTAAATTGAATCCTTGCTTCTTTTTTTTTTCCCCTCCACACCCTTTCTTTCTGCTTTTCTCTGCCTCGCCTTCTACTACTTTTGTCTGCCTCACCCCCCTCCTCCTCGTTTTCTTTCTACCCCCTCCATCTTTTTTCTCTTTTCATTTTTTCTTCTCTGTTTTGCCTTTATGCTTTGCAAATGTTGTTACTATATTTTGCCAATAGCAATATTCAGTGCCTAACTGAATCCTTAAAACCTTCAGTTTAATTGATTAACTGCTGTTAATATTTAATTTGGTCATCTGTTAATACTTCTTTTTAAATTTTATTTGCATTCCATTTTTGATGTTGTAGTTTTCAAATATCATGTGTGGCAAAGTACCTATGTAAATTTTATGTGTGATCTTTGTTTATTTGTGAGGTCAATTAAAGCAAAAAAGATGTACAGAATCAATTTTACATTTATTTGAGCATTATTGAACCTTTCAAATTGTGCAATATTGGGGTTTACACACACACACACACACACACACACACACACACACACACACACACACACACACACACACGAATTATTCTTAGATTACCTGATACATTAATTTTGTGTATGTCTGCACAAACACATTCTCTTTATACTGTTTCTTTTTAAAATTTAAAACTGTAGAAGTAATTTTCAAATTTGGAATGTAGCTCTTTGCAATTGGTTGTAATGTAAGCACCAGTGATATTGGAGGCTGTTTATATATAATGTGACTAATGATACTGTACTGTGAAAAATTCAGATTGTTGTATTGGGTTGTCAGATAAATTTTTTTTTTTTTTTTTTAGTAATTTTAATAAATCTGTCTATAAACAAAAAGTTTTAAGAGGGAGGAGAGAGAGCTAACAAAACAGTATGGTAAAAATATTTTTTCAAATAACATTAAAAAAAAGTAATGAATGAACTTATCTGACAACTCAAGAAAAATAACATTCTTAAGAGTACTTTTACTCAAGAGTACTGAAAGATTTCTTGGCCCAATTTGCTTCTCAAAATTTTATTTTTTTTTTTTTTTTTTTTTTTTGATAATGCAAACCACAATTATGAATTCAATGCTGAATGTTGTTTATCTTTAATTTTTTTTGTCACCTCTTAAAATATTCAGCTATTGAGACAACTCTATACCATTTCAAGTTCAATTTGGGACTAATGAAAATTATTTTGGGATCAAGCAAGTTCAAACTGAAATAGCCAAGTCCAGAATGGGATGTAGCAGGTCCATTATGGAAAAATGTTTTTAACGTATCTGCATGTTTCAATAAACAAATATCATGGATTAAAAAAATCAACTGGGTGGTAAATCAGATAATTAAAAACTGGAGTGCTGTGTTGCATAGATTTTACTATAGATTCCTTACAAGAGGCTATTCTTAAAGATAAATTTGTGTCAAAGTTGAAGTTTCTGGCACTTGTATTTAAGACAATCAGGGAGAAGAAAAGAAGAAAGAAAGTGATGGATAGACTGTATATAGTTTTAAAAAAGAGAGAATAAAATAGTTATTCAAAATGAAATGATTTGGGGAACAACAGGGCAAATCTCGAAAGTCCTAAGAAAAAGCAGCAAGGAAATACTGAATTCATATATCAAGACAGTTTGAAAAAAGACAGGTATAGTGAGAGATTTTAAGTGCTGAAAGTTGCATCCAAAAGATATACACTTTTCATGAATTTTCTTGATTTATTGATTGCTCCTAGAAGATAAAACATTTCAATAGTAGTTTAGTTGAACATAATTATTTTATGATGAAAGTATTTAATTTTAAAGTCTTTTTTAGCAAAATAATTGCTCAGTCCAAAATTGAATTTCCCTAATCCATTTTGAACTTGCTAAGTCTCAAATCGAATTTGCTGATTCCATTTTGAATTTGACTATCCCATTTTGAATTTGCTATGTACCAATTTAAACTTGGCTATTTCATGTTGAACTTGCTTAGTCCCAAAATGACTTTGAAATGATATAGAATGATCTGATAATAAAACTTTTGATATTTAATTCTTTTTAAAATAAAAAGAATTTGTTGCATCTCTATGTACTGAATTGCTTTTCTCTTTCAAAACCTGAAAGGAAATAAAACTAATCTGTTAGATGACCAAAAATTATACAGCAAAGGCCTAGTGGCAAATGATTAAAACCTTGCATGCTCAGCTTATGTATGCCTTTTTGTTTTTAAACAGAATATCGCCAATGTTCAGAAGGTGACTTCCGATGTCCAAATTCTCTTTGCATTCCTAAACGTTGGATGTGTGACCATGAAGATGACTGTGGCGACATGTCTGATGAGAAAAACTGCAGTGAGTATCACATACGCTCTGCATCCTCTTCTTATTCGAGACTCCACATCCTCTTATGGTTTGCACGACTCATTATTTTCTACATCACTCTTTTTTTCTTTTTCTTTTTTTTTCTTTTTCTTTTTTTTTTCTTTTTCTCTCTCTCTTATTTTTTTTTTTTTTTTTTTTTGGGGAAGGCAAAGAGTTACAAATTAAAAAAAAAAAAAAAAAAAAAATGAAATATCACTTTCATTAGCGATCATTACCAAAAAAATCAAATATTCTTTTAAACTCTGCTTATTGATAAAAAAGCAAAAATCTTTAGTCTCAAATATTCATTTAATTCTCTGATTGTTACATATAACACAGATGGGATAATATGCAGTAACATTTTAGATCAAAACTCAGCTAATTGTTAAACAACAGACATTGATTTACCTTCGTAAGCACAGAAATAACTAATGGTAATGTTTAGCACGACAAGCTTGCTAATCATGATTCTACACTGTAGATATTAATTCATGATGTCATAGAATTGGGAGGAATGAGTGGTGCAGTTCTGGACGTTGCATAGTCTGGCACAAGAACAAGTATGGAGAAATAAAGTTTGCAAAACTCATGAATAGCATACTTGTTTTGAATATCTTTATCTCAAATGCTGGCCTTTACTTAGAATCCTTTCAGCCACCAGGTTTATCTAGAATTCAGCACATTACAGTGGGAATGAAGACAGTCTACAAATTCTTGTGTTTCTCATTTACTTTGTGAACTTTATTTGATGCTAATCTTCCTGTGTTGTGAAGAATCTTGTCATATTCCAAAAGAGAATTCTTTTAATCAATGGATGTTTTCCAATTCATTTCTTAAATATCGACATTTTCATTTGTATGATATCAGTCAGGTACATATTTTTCACTTGTATGCAACAATAAAATATTCAAATCTAAATATATCAATTGAAAATAAGTTGATTGGATGTTTATCACTGAAACTTTATCATTGCTTATTTGAAACTGTTCTCTTTGTTCTTTTTATAGACATTATCAAAAGGTAATCATATTCAGTTTATAAAATTTTATTAATCAAAATAATATCTCTCCGATTCATCACATGATAATATGCGAAAGAAAAAATAACTTTTAATTCATTGTGCACACTTGAAAGAATTAGTCCTAAGATTTCTAAAAACAAAAAAAAATAAAATGCTCTTTATAAATTTAGTTCTATTGATAACACAGTTTCTCTAAGTACCAATAAGTTTGTTAAAATGTAATGCATTCTAGTGAACAATTGCACTGATGTTGTGTTATTTGTAATTTCAGCATATCTCACGTGTTCTCCAGATGATTTTACCTGCAACAATGGCCGCTGCATTCCTGCAAATTGGACATGTGATTTTGACAATGATTGTCATGACAACTCAGATGAGAAAAACTGCAAAGAGGGTGATGCTCTTTTTTTTTTATTTTTTTTTAAATCTTTCTTTCTCAGACCAAATTTAATCTTCATGTAATTTCTTGAAGAACATGGAATAACAAGTTAAATAACTTGTCTTTGTGTCCCTTATGACATTTTTCAATTTTTTTATGACTTTATTTTTGTAAACGCTTTTTGCATGAATTTTGTCCAGTGAAATAATTTTGATTAAATCCTGTTATTTTCGTATAATCTTAAATACATTCCCAAGATTTTGTAGTTAAGCTTTCATATGATCACATTTAGCACTACTCAAAGAACCTGAGGATTCAATTGTTGTTTTATTGGCAACATGAATATTTCATCAATTATAATGATTATAGCCACTTAATTATAATTGTTTAATTAAAGCAAAATTATTAAAAATGAAAATTCTCAAGTTTAGATTTAATGTTACTTATTTTTATTCATTATTTAAGGTCAAAGTATAGATTAGTATTGATTTAATTTTTTTTTTACCCAAAAATCATTTTTGTATTTCTTGACTGCTTTGTTTTTTTTTTGTTTTTTTTTTTTTTTTGAATCAATGACATTAAAAGGAAACCCATTTTCTATGTCCCAATTTCATCTGTCATTTTAGATTTATATAATTTCTCTGCGTCCATTACTTTGTAAAGCACAAAACATTTCATGTTACATATCTTTATATCTTGTGTATGTATGAAGACCAGACATGACTTGCAGATTTTGCATGCACAATCCCAAATTATATTGGAATAAAAAAATTTATTTTTGCAAAATATTTTTTTAAAGCAGGTTTATTTTTTTTAACACTATTTTTAAAGTCTGTGTACATGAAGTCGGGGATCAGTTTTCTAGATTATCTTTTGCACACATATTGAAATAATTTAAATATTTTTGTTGAAAAGAAAATAGAATGTTAGTTGTAAAAGAAAATCACAAATTGGGTTTTCGTTTATTTAATAAGAAAAAAAGTTGAGAACAAGAAAGAAGTAAAGTTGCATAGAAGCTTAATTTGAAAAGAATGTATAAAATGTAAAGGCAACCATTTTATCATTTCATTCAGTATTGTGACAGTAAAGAACACATTGGAATCAACAATATTGCTGATATTGACTATTATTGAAAATATAAAAATAGGAAATTTACTTAATTTTGTTTCAATTAATATTTTTGCATTAGAAATTGTTCTTTGTTTTGTGTGTGTGTTTTAATCCTCCCACAAGAGAAATTTGTAAAGTATTATGGTACCATTAACATTACTATTGTAGGAGACGCGGTGTAGTATGGATAGCGGCTTGGATTGAGGAATCTGAGAGCCAAGTTCAAATTCCATTCGGGTCCATTGCATTCACTTATGTGCTAATGCCCTTGGGGAAGGTATGAATCCTCTTCTCCCTGCATCTATGGGTAAATAGCAGGAAAGACTGGGTTCTGCAACTGGTCTAGGAGAAGGCAAAACTCTGAACACAAAATTGGCCTGGATAGGGTGCAGCTCCATCAGGCTATCTTGCCCAAGAAACACCACTTTTGCAGTACACATGGTACCCCTATGACCCTACAAGGTCATGGGATAAAAAAAAAAATGTGACATTATATAACATATTATCCATGCAGCCAACATTAATCGGTTATTATGAAACACTAGTTAATACATAATTATACTCAAGTTCATGGACACTGCTTCTGAATGTGATTTTTTTATTTTTTTTGTTTTTTTATTTTTTCAACTTTGATTTTATTGCTCAGGCCAGGGTCGTAGTTGTCCAGACTGAGTGCGAGGAAGAATGCATTATTCCAATGGCTTATTTCAAACTCGGTCTAATTATATATAATCTCCATAGCTCAATTAGGTCTCCTTTAAATACACATGGAAACCTACCAAACTCTATATGTAACATTTAAATTTATATACAAATATAATAAAGCATCATGCACATGTACAAAAAGGCTAAAAATAATGGTAGCATTATTAACAAAAAAGAAAAAGCCAACACTCAATAATATCAACTCTGAACACGGCCGCAATGTGTTGACCGTGTTTGGAAAGTAAAACATTCATTTATAACTCTAGATAAATATATAAAACATTTCATACATTCAGTTAAAAGTAAAAATAAAATTCATCCCTGATAATGGCTCCAAGTTTAGCCAAAAACACTTGGACATATAAAACATTTAGACAATTTTTATATAATTTGCATCCAAAAGAGAATAATTCATAAGAACACAAACTTAACTAGAGTACATTGTCAGTTGTTTTTTAATGAAACTTGCATATATATATATATATATATATATATATATATATATATATATATAATGCGCACATGTGCTTGTGTATACATTAAATAACACAGGCACATATAAATCAATTCTGAACAAAGCAGATATAAGCAATTTACATACATGCATGTAAAGTTGCACAGTACATCTGAAAGATTAAAACAAAGCAATTAATTTTATTTTTGTGTGTTTGTGATCTAGAGAAATCCAACATCTGCACCTGGGGAGATATTTTTTTTCTTTCTTTTCTTTTGTGATATTTCTGCAGCATTTATTTTACTAATTGAGCCCAGGCATCATTGCAGTGTGAGACTATTGTCTCCTTGACTTGAAGATGGGAATTTTTTTGTTTTTTTTTTTTGACAGAACTCAACTTTTTCTCATTCAATAAACAATAAGCCATTTGTGGTTTTCTTTTTTTTTTTTTTTTTACATTTAACCATTCTATTGTCTATTTTCTTGTAATTGAAATCAAAATTAAAGCTTCAAACAAAATATTTAAACTATTGTAATGTTTTAATAATTTTATTATGCATGGGAAGCATGTTCTCCCCTCACCATGCCACTGACATTGTTCAAGGGAATGGATGGTGTTGTTGCAGGAGTTGTGATAATAAGGTTGATTTCAACATTGGACTTCTATTTTTATTTTATTTATTTATATAATTTTTTTTTTTTTTCCCAGGAACGTGTCTTACGACTGAATTTTCTTGTAATTCTCACTCAGTATCCTGTATTCCACTAACTTGGCGTTGTGATGGTGCTGGGGATTGCCCTGATTATTCTGATGAGAAAAACTGCAGCCATGTTACATGTCCTACTGGAACATTCACATGTAAAAATAAACACTGCATACATCCTACATGGCGTTGTGATGGTGAGAATGATTGCACAGATAATTCTGATGAAGTCAACTGTAGTGAGTATATATAAATATATATATATATATATTTTTATAGATCTTGTAGGGGAAAGTGTGAAAAGCAAAATCTTCAAACACAGCTCAACAAATTTGAATAATTTTTTATTGTGTATAAAAGTAATCTTTTCCTTCTTTCAAGTTGAAAAAAAACAAATTACAAAGTTCCTTGCAAATATAATTAAACAAATGTTTGGTTTTTCTTTTTACAACACAAAAGAAATGAATTATGTTAGTACAAGTGAAAATATGTATGTCACTACATTATTTTATGTATGCATGTTAATACGTTGTGATTACAGCAGTAGGCAAAGCTGTTGGGGACGTGCAGAATTTATTAATTATGCTTGAAAGAATCAGAAGGAATTTGTGTAGGTTGTATGACTTTCTGCATCCACAACAAATAAATAAACGAAATTTAAAATACGATTAACAAGACATATTCAATTAGAAACTAATGTAACATTTATATACAATTCAAAACATTATACAAGCAGGATAATTGGTATATGTTATGTTGGCAAAATGTGTATGATGTTTTAGATTTCAGAATGTCTCTCTTTGTAATCGTTCGTTCATTTGCAGTCTGTTTTAGATTTGTGTTGATATTAAAATTGTTAATATTAAGTGTCTTTTTAGGAGTTCTTAAGGAGTGATCTACCTTTTGACTAATGTTTTTAAGGTCGTTCGCACATTGATGTTACTTAATAGGTAGCGAATATAATTCACTTTAGATAAGCAATGTTTGAGAATCAATGTCCACAGAGTTGGTTGAGTTTTAATTGCGAGTGAGTCAGCGTTGATGTACCTTTGTGCGGTAAAATCGTGATTTTGAGTGACGTGGAGTATGATGGCAATTTCTCTGTGGGTGTTCGTTACTGACTGCTTGGGACAGTCGGCGCCATTTTTATAAGTCCTGAAAGTCCTAAATTGGCTCACGGAGTTTTAGCGCAATTTCGTTTTTGCACGTGAACTTTCAGATTATTGTGTCATTAACCAATGAGATTGGTTGATTTGCCTAGTACAGTTTTTATTGGTTTTCCGTCCGTAGGCGTAAGATATAGACTGTTCAGTTGCTAGGGGTGATAGGTAAGAAAAAGACGAGTCTACAATACCTCCCCCTAGATTAATGGCTAATGTCAATAGGCATTAATATGTAATGCATGTGCGAAATCTAGCTGGCCAATGAACATGTCTGCCCGACTTTGTGCGGGTAGACTTGGTTGATGGAGACATGTCTTTAGTAGTCGTTTGTGTGTTTGATTGCTCTGGTGCTGTTGGGTTTAGTGGTGTTTGAATGATGTCATTACACTGTACGTATGCTGGTTTGAGTCTGTCGATGCTGACAGTATTTTGTTTACCAGCAATGTCTGTTACGAAATACTTAGGTGTTCTGGAGGTTACCAGATGTCGTCCAGTATAATTCAGTGTTAGAAGTTTCCGAACTGCGTCACGATGCAGGAAAATATATTCTGAGGAATTTAAGTCTATTGGCACGTAATACGGTTTCTTGTAAACCCGTGTGGGCATATATATTATCTCCATCATTTTTTTGTTTAAGATCGGACACAAAATAACTGGTAGGGGTAGAATCCGTAACATTGTGAAAGATTTGTACTGGAAGGGTTGTTGGTTTCCCCGAACACCAACTCTGCACTAGTACACTTCAGATCTAGTTTGATTGTATTTCTTAGCACAAGCATCACAAATGGTAGCTTATCTACCCATGTACGAGCACTGGTAGATGCTGTTAATGCATACTTGAGCTGTCGATGAACACGTTCTACTAATCCGTTGCTGCAGGGATGATATGCCGTAGTAGAAATGTGTTTAATTCCGAGCAAATTGACGAACTCGGTAAATAAAGTCGACTGGAACTTAGGGCCTCTGTCGGTAGTAATAACCGCAGGGCATCCAAATAATGAAATCCAATTCTGAAAGATGGCGTTGGCCACCGCTTCTGCTGTTATCGTCGATAGCGGTACGGCCACAGGCCACCGTGTGAAGCGATCTACGATAGTCAGAATATATTCGTATCCATTGGTCCTGTTAAGCAGACCCACAAGGTCGGCATGCATATGAGTAAAACGAACGTCAGGGGCCATAAAGGTTGATGATGGTGCTTTCGTATGACGACTTATCTTTGTTGCCTGGCAACGCTGGCATATGTGGGACCACTGTTTCACATCGGAAGCCATACCGGGCCAGACGAATCTGTCAGATATGGTCCGCAGCGTAGCCTTCGCTCCAGGATTAGCTGGTGAATGAAAATGATCGAAAACTGTTTTTCTCATCGACGGAGGCAGGTAGGGTCGAGGGTTACCTGTTGAGATATCGCAATAAACAAGCTTGTCGATGAAAGGGAGTGGATGTCTTTCTAATTTCAAAGAGGTATCTGCCTGCACTGAAGGGAGTGTGTCGTCCCTCAACTGTTCTTCAGCAAGTGTGTCGAATTCGAGTGAGGATGATTGTATCACATCAAGCGTAGGTCTCGATAATGCATCTGCAATGATATTATTCTGTCCTTTTACGAATCGAATGTTCGATGTAAATTGACTGATGTAAACCAGGTAGCGAATATCTCTAGGGTTTAGTTTATCGGACTTTGCATGCAGTGCATAAGTTAACGGCTTATGATCTGTGAGAATGATAAAGTCTCTACTCTCAAGGATGTGTCAATAATGCCGTATCACCAAATAAACGGCAAGTAATTCTCTTGAAAAAGTGCTATGTTTCTTCTGTGTAGCATTTAGCTTTAGTGAGAAAAAAGACAAAGGTGTTTTGATGCCATCAGTAATTTGGTGCAACACAGCGCCAACTGTGTCGGCTGATGCATCTGTTGTTAAGGTGAGGTTAGCTTTCTCCGATGAATTAATGTGAGTTAGTTTGGCACAGTTCTGTAGTGCATCTTTTGCATTTTGAAATGATCGTAGCTCATCTTGTGATAGTGATATCTGCAAATTTTTTCTTTTATACAGAGACAAGATATTCGTCAGTGGCAAAATAAACGAAATTTAAAATACGATTAAGAACAAGACATATTCAATTAGAAACTAATGTAACATTTATATACAATTCAAAACATTATACAAGCAGGATAATTGGTATGTTATGTTGGCAAAATGTGTATGATGTTTTAGATTTCAGAATGTCTCTCTTTGTAATCGTTCGTTCATTTGCAGTCTGTTTTAGATTTGTGTTGATATTAAAATTGTTAATATTAAGTGTCTTTTTAGGAGTTCTTAAGGAGTGATCTACTTTTTGACTAATGTTTTTAAGGTCGTTCGCACATTGATGTTACTTAATAGGTAGCGAATATAATTCACTTCAGATAAGCAATGTTTGAGAATCGATGTCCACAGAGTTGGTTGAGTTTTAATTGCGAGTGAGTCAGCGTTGATGTACCTTTGCGTGGTAAAATCGTGATTTCGAGTGACGTGGAGTATGTTGACAATTTCTCTGTGGGTGTTCGTTACTGACTGTTTGGGGCAGTCATGCTTACTTTTTATAAGTCCTGAAAAGTCCTAAATTGGCTCGCAGTTTTGGCGCAATTTCGCTTTTGCACGTGAACTTTTAGATTATTGTGTCATTAACCAATGAGATTGGTTGATTCGCCTAGTACAGTTTTTATTGGTTTTCCGTACGTAGGTGTAAGAAAAAGACGAGTCTACAAAGCTGTCAGTTGACCTTATTTGTACTACTGTTAAAATTCACTTTGTTTATGTATCTTGCTCATGTTTTTAGTGTTGTATGAATTACCTTAAAAGCAAAAATTATTTGCAAGATATTTAGAACTCAATAAACAAGTTAGTTTGAGTATTCCGCATTTTGTTCACAGGGAGTGAGACAGAATGAGAACACTGAGAATGGGAAAGTTTGAAGAACACAGATTACATTCTATTGTTTTAGTTAATTTTTGCAAAGTTCTGACAAGTTTTACTTTTTTTGGTGTGTGGGGGGGGAGGTTATTGAATAATATGTAGTGAATTTTTTCAATGCCTTTTCAAAGTTTTAATCCGAAAATGTGTTAAATTAATATTTAAAAATAAATATGAAATTGAGCATTTATTAACTCAGCTTTTCCTAATTTGTTTTAAATTTTTTTAAAAAATCTTTTCAGCTTTTACAACTCCTGTTCCTTCTCGTGCAACTTCACAAATTTCAAATGTGTCAACAGCATTACCATCTTGTAGTAAGTCAGAATTTCAATGCAAAAATGGATTCTGCATTTATGCAAGTGAACGTTGTGATAACATTAATGATTGTGGAGACAACTCGGATGAGGAAAATTGTAAGTATTTTTGGGGTGGGGTGGGAACATTAAAAAGGTCATAATCTGACCCTGCATATATTAAATATTATTCTATTCCCTCCCCGCTTACAAAAGGAATTATTTTCAGCTTTGAAATGCTGTAATATTGTCTATAAAATCCACTAAACTATACTTAATCAGATACAAAGCAAATAATTTTGAGTAATTGATGATACATCAAAAATTATATTGAATTTAGAGTATGTGATTTTGTATAAGCTAAAAGGGAAAGATATTGGATCAAATGTATATATCATATAACTGTACTTTATATAAAAGAAACATAATGACGTCACATATATACGTATACACATACATGATTCACATAATTGTAAATATGTAGATATAAATTCTCATCTATCCTATATAAAAGAAATCACAAATTATACATACACACAAAATACATACTTTTATTAGTAAAAGAAACATAGGTATACATGTAATCAAACAGAATATATTTAGGCATACTAGTAAATATCGTCATCGTCCTTCAACCTCCCTATGGTTGGTCAGAATTCCATTGATAATCCCTTTCCACACTGTTCAATCCTGTATTGCTGTCCACAAATCCCCAATGTCCAACCTTGAGTCCTGAGCTATGGTTTCTGGGGAAAGTCAATTGTTGTGAGAAAACACTTCCAGAAGGCTGCCATAGGAATAAGGATGAAATGATTTCCCTATCCACTTGGTGACAGTCGCTGGCAAACTGTAGTTGTTTTTGCTTCAGCTTAAGAGAGATTGGTCTTGGTTAGCTTGTGTCAAACATTGCACGGAATCTCCAACTGATGTTCTGTATTTTTCTTACTAGATTTGTATATGCTCCATCCAGTCATCTTTCAATGTGAACAGATAATGTTTAAGCATCTGATGCATACAGTAGGACTGGTTCAATCAATGCTTGAAAAGTTTGGTCATTTAAGAAGGATGGAAGATTTGAGTGCCAAATCTTGTCAAGTTTGTTACTCAAAGCTCTTACATGGAATGCATGTATGTTGAAGGCTTTTTGGGAATCTATGATGTGAGATCAAAGATATTTGAAGTTCTCAACTGTTTTGATGGCGGTATTATTGAACTAATTCAACTCGGATGATTCAGGGGAGTTTGTGATGTATTTTGTCTTACTTTCGTTGAAATAGAGGCCTCTCTGGTTCACTGCTTGCTCGAGTGGTTGCAACAAGGATTCCGTGTCCTTGATACATTGAGAAATTAATGCAAGATCATTGGCAAGGTCAGTCAGGTATTGTGGATTGTACTGATTGCCCTGGTGAAGCTTCAAAAGAAGTCCTTTTTCTTCCATGTTGTCAAGAAATATGCAGAACATAGTCCAGAACAACTATAAACAGAAAATGAGCAAGTGTTTAAATATTACATATATTATTAGTAAATCTACAATCATACATCAAAATCTGAACTTAAAGTAAATAAATGAATATAGGTAGACATATATATTTAAAAAAAATCATGTAGAAATGAGGATATATGGCTTGAATTGAAATCCGTCTGGTTCAACATTTTTCAAGAGGTGTTTGTTTTTTATGTCTACATGTGACCATTATGCTATTCTTTTCTTTCATCCATACAAGTTTTGTATGTGGTGAACCTTGAAATTCTTGACTGTATGACTTATCCAAGTTTTGTTGGTTTCTGTTTTTGTCTGACTCATCTGTCATTTTGCTAAGTAATGTCCGGGTTTTTGCGGATATTTCATGTTCCAGCTAATGTTTTCTTCAGCAGTTGTGGAGAATCCTTTCCTTTATGCAGGCATGTCCTGCTTCTTCCACTACTCTTTGTGCTTTTCTTGGAAGTAACCAATGTCTCGATTGAAAGAACAGAATTGGAACAGCAACAAGGTCCACCATGATTTGAGAAGTTGCTAATGTCAGGAATCAGCAGTTGAATGTCTCTGCGGAATCGGTGCTAAACGGAGGGTCTCAACTTCACCACAATGGTCAGGTGGGTTCTATACTTAGACATGATAGCTCAAGTAATGGAAATTGTCTTGAAAATCCTGTAGGCCCAGATAGAGTGAGACGGGTACTAGAAAAGGCCAAACCACCTAAATGATACCACATGCAGGAAGAATGGTTGGTAGTTAAGACCTTACAGAGAGACAGGAGTATCATCATACAGCCAGCTGACTAAGGCAATGCTTCAGTGATTGGCAAGTTGGAATACTCCAATAAATTGGCAGCTATAGCAAAATGAAAAAGGACCCTAAAAACTGAGAGGAAGCAGTCACAGATCCTAAATAAGGACAAGGCCTACTTTGCACTAAATAAATATAGACAGCTGTCTCAATGTTACATCAAACTGATGCACATGTATGGTCTCCTTAAGATTCACAAAGTTGGTAATCCACTGAAATCTATAATAAGCTACAGGGAGTCTTCATACCCACTCTGAGCAGATTCCTTAGTGAAACTGATCCAAGGGACTTCCATCCTTAATGATCGGATGGTAAACTTGGATGTGGTAAACCTGTTCACCAGAGTTCCTATAGATGGGACCCTAACAATGGTTTCAAACCAATTGGAATGAAATCCCTCCCTAGGAGAATGTACTAACATTCCAATAGATAATCTGATAGAAATGTTGATGTTCTGTGTATAGACAGCATTCTTTCAATTAGTCTGGCATATACCAACAGGAGGAAGGTTTGTCTATGGGTTCACTATTGTCACCAGTGATGACAAACATATACATGGAATACTTTGAGGAAATGGCTTTACAAATGGCACCAAAAAGCCAACAGTATGGCTGTGATCTGTAGATTAAACTTTCATACTCTGGCCACACCAGGAAGCTGTACAAATACTGCTGAGCCATGTAAACTCAACAAGACCTTTGATCCTGTTCACAATAGAAGAAACAAATGGTAACCAGCTAGCCTTACTGGATGAACTAATAACTCGCACAGAGAATGGGTTCAAAACGTCTGTATATCACAAGCCAACATTCATTGGTCAATACCTCAACTTCAATTCCAACCATTTATACAGTGTGAAGAAAGGGATCATTTGATGCCTACAATACTGGGTAAAAATCATAAATGGCAACCCAGCCACATACCAACAAGAAATAAGCATCAAACGCACTCTTCAGAATAAGAAGTACCCATCAAATGTTGCATCAGCCGGTGGGAACAGAATGGACAAGGAGGATGACTATAAAATTGCCACGGTTTGTCTACTTTATGTCAAGGGCTTAATGAAAAAGATTCAGAAGATCTGCAGTTCATATAATGTTCAAAAAAAGTTCCACTCTACACAGAAATCTCTTCTGCGTAAAAACTATTAACTTTAATAAAAAAAGAAAAGAATTATTGCATTAATAAAGTTGCTAACTTTGAAATATTTTTCAGGCATAACAAACAGCTCTACTCCATCCAGATGTAATTCAAATGAATTCCTGTGCAGAAGAGACAAAGTCTGCATTCCTGCCAGAAAGAAATGTGATCAACATCAAGATTGTGATGATAATAGTGATGAAGAAAACTGTCGTAAGTATTTGAGGTTTGCTTTCTCCTTTCAGGATAACTGATGACAATTAGACACCATTAATGCCTTAATAAATATACCAACCTGAAGATGTACAGTGTGCAGCAGAAAATCCTCCCACATAATGGTAAGATACTAAATGGTATTTCTGGGAGGTATTTCTGCCACACACTGTATGTACATCAATAAGTCTCTAGCCTAATGAATGGAAAAAGGAAATTTTATAAATATTTTTTTTTTTCATTTTCATGTCAGTGCACTTGGTATTTTTCCATTCATCACAGATCAAACATCATACACTGAAAATTTCAAGTCAAAATTTACCTAACAGACTTGACGTAGCCTTAAACTTTTTCTTGACATAAAACCTTTTATGTATGTAGGTCCTAAAATAGAATATTCTTATTCTTTCTAATTAACATTTAGCAATGTGCATCATTTATAAATATTATTTTCCCTTTTACTACATATGGAATCCCCTCAAAATATAGTGTGTTATATACTAGTTCTATATATATATATATATATATATATATATTTGAAATTGTATCCTGGCTCTCAATTTCAGTCAAGATTGTTTTAGGTGTTGCCATAGAAGGATATGACTACACAACCAAGAAATTCAACTTTCATTGACAGGATTAACATTTTGTTTGGTGAAAATAATCACCTAGTACTCAAGAATGACATTAAACTCAAACAACGAACCCTGTTAGTGTTTCTCATCACTTCTTTAGCTTCTATTTATTAAAATGCTTTCAAAACCTTTGAGGAAGTCATGTTAAATTAAGCAAAAAATGTTTTTCATGTTATCTTTGTATTTTTTTCTTGGCACCTCTAAACTGTGCTGCAAGTTGAAAGCCTTCTGCTTTTGGTAGTGAAACTGACAAACACAAGAATCTCTGTGTACTGTTTAATTGGATTTCTATTGAAACCGCTTTATCAATCAATTGCCTTTTTGAGTGGTTTTCACATTTTAGACTATTTAAACAGTTATCACTATTGTTGTTATGATTTTCTAAGCATAGATGTGGTACAAGGCCAAAAGTATGGGACTCTCAGTGAGGAGCAAACTCACTACTCAATTGTAATTGTTCTAGTAAGACAAGCTTGCTAACCAATATGACACATTGAAGTGCACTGTATCATTATTATAATTTAATGTCTTTAGTCAGGCTTCTTAATACAAATATCAGCAATTTGTTACATCAGCCAAGAATGTCATCAAAAGCATTATTTACAGTATTTCCCCCGCCTATAAAATGTGGAGCTGCAGAGCCTTGGAAAGATTTCTGGTCACAGCAACTTCTCAAAACCCTTTATAATGTAACATCTGATAATAATACACAACTAAATTCTTATGTTAAGTAATTTTTTTTATTCACTTCTGAATGCATTCAATCTTATGAGGATATGAAGGGCTCTGCTTTCACCTTCATGGGTAGGACATTTATATAACCCTCCGAGGCTCCTAGCTCTTTTGATGTTCTGATGTGACACTGAGTACAAACCTTACTTTGATATCTCTTAAGGTGAATCCAGTTAATATTAGGGTCACCACTTTTTAGGTCAAAGGTTCCTGCTTGACATTAAATTTGATTCAGACATATGATATTTCCTGGTGGGAATCACAATAGCCTTTAGTAGATATCCTCAAAATTGTAATACCAACACATTAGACACAGTATAATATTTGAATTTTTATACATATCTCACAATGGACATTTAATCTGCAGACCAATATCGTAAAAATAGGTTTTTTTTAATACTTTTGTTAACATTTGATGACAAGATTTTTTTTTTTTTTTTTTTTTTTTTTTTTTTTAAGCCATCTCCTCATCATGTCCAAGTGACCATTTCCAGTGTGGGAATAATCAGTGTATTCCAATGGCCTGGACTTGTGACGGTGAAGATGATTGTATGAAAAGTGAAGATGAAATGAATTGTGGTACTGTGGAGCAATGTGGACATGACATGTTCCATTGTCTTGAATCTTCTGGTTGCATTCAAATGGCTTATCTCTGTAATGGCATCTATGATTGTGCTGACCAGTCAGATGAATTGAACTGCAACAAACATACAGGTTTGAATATATTTTTTTTAATCTTTTTTTGTAGTCTTGTACCAGTAAGTTAAAATATAAATACTCCTTGAAAGAAAAACTAAAATACATTGATCAAATTCTTGTATAGGAATTTTTTTGATTTAATCAAATTGTACTTTGGGAAGTTGTAGCATTCATCACTGGGTCAAATGCTTTCAGGTGTTTTCAGTGATACATCAGATGAAATGACAACTGACATTTCTTTCACAGGTCATACTGACACTCCCCAGAAATGCTCATCTCATGAATTTTTGTGTGAAAATGACAGTGACCAATGTCTCCCATATCTTCTTGCCTGTGATGGACAAAATCATTGCTTGAATGGACGGGATGAAAAATTTGGCATGTGTGAAGGTAAGGTTTATTTATGTATATATACTAATGTTCATCATCCAATACAAGTTAACCACTCCAGGTAGAGAGTTACTATATGGTGTTGTAAGAGTCTAAGAAAGGTCTAGAAGTGAAGTTCTTGGGGATAATGACTAATTCTAGATTGAAGAGGTCAAAATTTAATTAGTGAATAACATTTCTCAGTTCAGTTAGAGACGTTAGAAGTATAGTGTGGTAGTAGACTTTAAAAGTAACCGGAAACCCAATCCTAAACCGGAAACAAGGGATAAACCTCTACTCCTGTTCAAAAGACCAAAGAGGAGGGTGTACTGGATGATAGGTGAACTTATTTACTTCTATTGGGGGAGAAGCAAAAAATAAAATAGAATTGATAAAAAGTGTTTTTTTTTTTTTTTTTTTTTTTTTTTTTTATCATATTTTGTTTTATTTCGCTGTGATTAGTCCCTTTTGGTGTGGATACATTTTTGGTTGGTCATCGTTTTTACTGCTTCCTGTAAAGTGCCAGAGGCCTCAGAATGAGTGGTAGGCTTGGTGTGCATGATCCCCTTTTTTTCTGTCCTCCAAGTCATAGAATTGTAAGTATCTGGTTTCTTTTGCTTTGACAAGATAAGTGAGTGGAGCTGATTGCTACCATTTTTTTTAGAAGGTTTAGTTAAACTTATAATTACATAAATTTTATTTTCACCTGACTCCTCCCATTCTATATGTGTCTGTTGAATAGTTTTCTATAGAAAATCAATGTCTGAATGCAATATCTGAAAAAGAGAAACCACTTCCTGGAGTTGTTCCAGCTTTTGATCTCTTTGTTTGTTGTTACCAAATTTTAGTTTATCCATTCTACAGTCTTTCTTCAGGCATCCAGCCAGTATGGAAATATGAAGAAGAGAAGGGGTTGTATCTTTCTGTTTTCTATCTTTTTTTTTTCCTTCTTTTGTGTAAACTAGAAAAGAGTAACAATAAATTGAAGAAAGATATGAAGTAGTCTTTGTAAAACCAAAAAAAAAAAAAAAAAACAACAAAAAAACAAATCCAAGTGATGCTCTTCCAACTACCTCCCAACACAAAGAAACCTCTTTCTTGTGTACCTGTAGCCACAACCACAGATTGACTGTTTTTTTTTGTTTTTTTTTTTTAATGGCCAAGCACACTAGTCTCATGCAAATTAGCATAACTGTCATGCAAATTTGGCTGTGATACCATCTATATTGAGAGACTGTTTAAAAAAACCCAAAAAAACACTAATTATTCAGAACAAAATTTTTAAACCAGGCACACCCTAGTTGAACTCTTTTCTCAAGTTGGTTTAGTTCTTTTCTGCATTGCCCAGTATCATTGTTGTACTAGCAAAAGGAATTATATCCATAGTCCAAATAAATCTTCCATATATATCCCCATAAAATCTTTCATACTTTGTAATCCTCTACCTTGGGTGGTTCTTAGGCTACATTATCACAGTGGGGAATATCACTATATATAAAAAAAAAAAAAAAATTCCAAAAACTCTTGAAATGATAATGATTCTTCATGATCAAATTACAGATATTAATAATTTTGATATTCTTTTGTTAAGTATATTGTTTTCATCTTTTGTAGATGTTGTTCATGTGCGAAACATGTGGTACACTGATTTAACAAGCAGTAGTGTTTTGCTCAAATGGGAATCTGTTAAAAACTCTGTGCAAGGAAAAATCTCTTACATTCCCAGCTTTGTGTAAGTAATCTTAAAATCATTTTATTATCTGTGATTAAACCTTTCCCAAACTGAATTTATTTCTAAATTTTACCAATTCTAAGTTAATATAAATTCAATTTGTGAGATATCTACACAAACCCCATTATACCACATAGTAGGATTATACAAAAGTTATATCATAGAAACATTTTTACCCATGAATATCTAGTTTCAGTCATTTCCATGGAACCCAAATTTAATAAAATTCTGAAAAAATAAACATTTGAAATACATGCACATACTGGCAATTACTGTCAGTCTTGAGTCACAATGAAACATTTCAATTTTCCCCACTTGTCATCAATCTAAAATGGTTTGCTTGGTTGTCTTGATATCAAAATTCAATTATCTGTCAATGAAAAAATTACTCATTATGAAACCTGCCACTGTTGCATTAATGCTGCATTGTTGCTTGGAATGATTCTATAGCGGAGACTCCTCTATGGCTAATTGGTATTATTAGACTTGATTGTAAACAAATGCACATCATTGGACTAGCCAGATCTGATCAGAGAAAACTTTTTAATCCCTAATATTGCTTCTTTTAACATTCTAGAGGTGATTTTGTTTGCAAAGCAAAAAGTCTATCCTGCTCTGCAAGTGACTGATTAATGAATGATAGCATGTTTAAATTTTGCATTTGTATTGTCAGATCCTGGTATGGCAACAAAAAATGACTGTGACTGAAATTAAGTAGTTCAGTAGAGGAGCTTTGAAAAACAATGCAGTGGAAAGAAAAGGAGTGAATAATGTAGAGTGTTAAGATTAGAATATTTAAAATTAAAACTAATTATCTATTGGTATTTTTAAAAACATCATTTTTGGCTGATGAATCTATCAAAAAGACATGTAGAATCTTACTTCTTGACTGATTCCTTCTCTTAAATTCAGATTTGCTACTGAATTGATATCAATTGTTTATTTTTTTTGTATTGTTCAAAAGATGTGGTTTCATTTTCAAATGTTTTTATGAAGCTGTCAGTTTAGGAAGTAGAAATGTAAACAGTTTCTCATAATGAAACTCTTTTAACAAGCAACACCAAATCAACATATCAATGCTTTTGTTTTCATTTCCTTGGAAGAAGCCTCTACAAAATTCAATTTTAAGTTAACAAGAGTGGTTTGGGTGGGGCTTTTAATTCCTCCCAAATGTTGCCAATCATCCACATCTACAAGTTCTGTTCTTTGAACAAATCCAAGTTTCAACAGGTACTTTTATGATTGCAACAAGATTCTCGCTGGGGTTGAGGCCAGGGGTTTTTTCTAGCCACCCATTAAATTCATTAAAAAAAAACAAAAAAAAACAAGAGAAATATGGATGCAAAAAAAGTTGGTCCTGCTGTCACAAGTGACTTCTGTGCCCAACTTATGTCAAAGATGCGAGGTACATTTTAAAAGACCCCAGGTATGATTAAATTTGTATGTATTTTGTTTAACCTTTAACACTGTAGACAGTTGGTTGCTAAGCAAAAAGTTGGTCCTACTGTCATAAGTGACTTCAATCACATAAATGGTAATGTCCTTGAATTTTGCAGTTATTAAGTCCTGCTATGGTAAAAGAAAATGACCTTGAATTAAATCAATATGAGGTCTACTGCAGTTGAAGGGTGAGAAAAGAATGTGGTAGAAGGTGAAGTAATATTATAGTGTGCTAAGACAAATCTTGAAAGCTTAAGACAAATCTGGCATGACACTGCCCCCTCCCTACTATCTTATCTGAAAAAGAGTAATTATTTAAGTTCAGTGACTTATGATCTTTTACATGAAGCATGCTTGTAAAAATATGCATTGTCTTGCTTTTCTATCTGAAATCATGTTAATTGCTCCGTATCATCTTGACTTTGGTTGGTTAATTAAAAAGAAAAAATCTGTCCTTCAGTGAAAAGAGCTCCTCTGACTCACATAGACATAAGTTGTAAATAAATCAGAACACCACAAGAGAATGCAACAAATATGGCCGAGTAATAAAAATTCTTTGTAGAAGTTGAATGTTAAGATTTCATTTGTGACTTGACTTTAAGCATACCTGGCTTAATTTGGAATATTTACATCAGAAAAGAGGAATATAGGAGTGGGCTAATGAGTTCTTATCCCATCTCACTTCCCAAAATCTGAATAAACATGTTGTAAAGGAAAGAGAAGAAAAAACAAACTGTAAACTATAGTAGCAATAAACGCCTGCAATAAGTTTTTTCTGTCTCTCAACCACAACAATTGCAGCCAAATCGCAGTTCAAATGATAGTCCATCATAACAGTCCAGCAGGCAATGTAGAAATGACAAAATGGGGTCACAAATCCAACCTTCACTTCTCAGCAGCAAAAATGCATGTTCGTCCACCAAGCTCAAAAACAATCCTGCCCATAAGTGAAAAAATTGCTTTTATTTACTGAATGATTTTTCTGATTGGCCACACTATTCAGGGGAGACAAGAACATGAAATATAGGTTCCATTTTACACTGGGTTGTCTGCTTTGATAATGCACAGATTTTAGTAGATCTGAGTTATGGTCGCTTGCTGATGTTGCACAGACATATCCCACTGGCTGTACCTCTTAATGGCGTCAAGCCATCTCTGGAGCATCCTTGTTAAAGGATCTGCCTAGTTCCAATTTGATCTAACCAGCTGTATATCCACTGATATGTGGTACTCACTTACCAACTCTCCACATGTGTGTCTAGTCGCCTTCGAATGAGCATTTCGCTCCCAGCCTTTCTATGTACCCTGGCCTTCCCCGTGAGACTGTCTACTATCTACTTATGCATGCATGTGGAATCCGTGAACAAATGCAACACTTTAGTGCTCCATTGAAGAGCTATAGTTACTCCTTTAATAATGGCGTCCAATTCCGATAGGTTGATATGCTGTGTATCCTTCGCGGGACACAACCAACATGCATCTTCCATGATGTTACCATTTATCTCAAGGGACCCTCCTGTTGCAAGGGAACGCACGTCGACCCAGACATCAAATTCATATCCATCAATGCACTATTCACTGCATATGGGGTCATCTTGACGCACCCTGATGATGACTTCCGTCATCATGTCTTTAAGGGGGAGCATCATTTGTTTTGTCAGCCCAGCTGGAAATGACAGTACTCACCCTACAATTGATATAGGCAATCACAATGCGGATCCAACTGCCCACAGGAAAATGTCCCATCAGTTTCCCACATAACGAGAACACACTGTGCTGTGTCATGTGTCTGGGAATGTTTGGGAGCTCGCTTCCACGTTTCCAGTAAAGCATGGTTTCCAGTAAAGCATGTTATGCTCTTCATCCCCACCTCCTGACCTGCAAGCCGAGCACATGAACACTGTCCTCCAGTTGTTCTGGGTTCTTACATTTGAGCCCAAAGTTGGCCAGATGCTGTTTCACCTGCACAGCAGGCACTAAGGTTTCGTTGGTATAGATGCCATCAATGTAAGTTGACGTGACTTGATAAATTGTCTCATCCTTAGACAGCATGGCATCCACGATGGCTTTCATGATGATGCCACATTGAGCCTGAATCCAATTTGCGTTAGGCAGTATCTCCTCCTGTTAAGGTTCACCGTCTAAAATGGCCACAGTGACCCGTGCACGCATACCTGCAAGTAGGCCTTTTGGAGGTCAATCAGAGACATTGGACCCCTTCCTTCGCCATTCTCTCAATTTTTGTACACACACATCAGCATGAGCCGTGTATGTGTCCACATGTTTGTTCTGTTCCCTATAATCTAGTATGGGGCGTACCTTTCCCTTGTTCTTCTGTACCATGGCCATCAACGAGATGAGGCCTCTTGGATGACCAGGATCTTCCTCAGGATATGGAGTCAGCCATCCATTGTCCAGCCACACCTGCAATTCGCGCTGGTATTCTTCTTTGACGTGTTCAGGCACTGAGTATTCTGACACACGGTTCTGGAGCTTCTCTGGTGGGTTATTTTCCAACCATTTCCACAGTGCTGTTCATGTCTTTGTCCTTTGGTTGAACTCTGCACTAAAGTCAGGCCCATTGATCTTTAAAGCAGCATGGGCAGACTAGAAAACTTGACTTCATGTTGAAAGCGGCAGTCTTTACCAAAATGATTCTGTCCAGAGCACCGAAAGCAGGTAACATTGCCATGGCGATGGATGGTTTGGGTCGGATCTTCTTTGACTTCAACTGGTTGAACAACTGCGGCCACTGGTTTTCACATCGAATATGATAGCGCAGGCTCCGGTCAACAACTGGCTGAGCGTCATGTCTTCCATTCTGGATGATGCGTGAAGTATCTACTTAACATGGCTAGGCAATGTAGACACAAAGCCACGGGTCATCACTTCTTCAGGGGGTGGGGCAATGAGCATGTCAAGCTTCTTTAATTTTGCAAAGAATACATCTACTCTCTCACTAGGCCGCTGATGCCACATCTGGAATTGGTCATAGGCCATGAACCATCAGTTCCAAATGCGATTAGTAGAGCATGCTTTATTTGCTCAATGTCACTTTTCTGTTCGTTGCTCAGCTTGCCTATACACAGCAAGGGCGCCGCCTTTCAAGCACAATGGAAAAATCTGTTTGATCTTCATAAATCGCAGACCAGTTCCACATTCAAATCAAACTTCCATAGTGTTTTAAATCATCAAAGAGGCATTCTAATAGATATATAAATTGCTAATTTGTAGGGAATGATGGCCAAATTTAGATGATATATAAAACATTATTCACTGGTGTAAATGGTGTATTTTTTTTTTTTTTCTGACATCTTGTCTGGAGATTTTCTCATATCATCTCTATACTTATTTATATTTGTGCATATTATTTTAGAAAAGCCAGAGAATTTTAAATTCTTATAGTGCTGTCAATATTATTTTTGTTTTTTCTTATCAATTTGTATGATTCTATTTCTTATATATCTTGTTTTTCTTTTCTTTTTTTTTTTCTTATCTTTTTATCAGTGAAAAAAAACCAGCATATTCATGGGTAAATTGCACAGCCACTGAACACACCAGTTACAGATTCAATAAACTGAAACCTGCTACCATGTACCATTTGCTAGTATTTGTTCAGGTCACTAACAAGACACACACACGGATTTATAGTCCAGCCCGTTTTGTTGTGGTTAAAACTAATGATGGAAGTGAGTAAGATGATAACACTTTCATGTTTACTTTAACATTCTCAAACTTTTCTCCAATTAACTAACAATCATAAAACACTGCTGTCTCTGAGTTTTTATTTTTTCCTTATTTCTTTATTTTTCTTTTATTTCCTTCTTATTTTTTTTTCTCTTATTTTTTTCTTTTTGTTTATCTTTTTTTGTTGTCGCCCATTTTACCTTTTTTCGTTTTTTTTCACTTTTTCCTTTTGTGCCTCTCTTTCTCTTCCTTTGTCCTCTTTTTAAAAATAACACTATAAGTGAACTGGTACATCCAGTCTGTAATTTAAGTTACTGGAAGCAGGTATGGTGGTGTGAACTAAAATTGGTGAGTATTTGAACGGCAATATTATTTACTGTGTACAAAAAAGAATTATTACACAAAGAAAGGCATCAAATGTTGTCTCCATATTGTAGGGTAAGGATATTAAAATTAAATCTTTTTCCAGAAAGATGTTGCAATTGTCTGGGAACAAAAGTTTGTATAAGTTAAATAGATTATATGGAAACCTAACGTTTAACTTCAATTTTGTCTCCTCCTCCTGAGATTGCTTGTCTGATGCAATATTTTGGTGACAAAGCCAATTACAGTAATTGAATATTTCATGTGACATCTTCCCTAGTAGAACCCAGAAAACAAGTCTGATCATCAATATCTCAAGAGCAGTTTGAATCTGGAGTTATGTATCTGTGGGAATTTGACTTTAAAGGCCAAGAAACACTGAAGGTGAAATGTCAAAGGAAAGCATCTGCATTCAAGGCACAATCTAAAAACTGATGACTCTTCTTGGAAGAAGATTTGGACTTCTACCAGCAGGACAGTAGCAATTGAGAGAAAAAAAAAACTGAATTGCTCTTTTAATGTAGGCACAACAATTATAAGCACTTGTTCTACTATCTACCTGAAGACTAAATGTTTATAGATTCTTTCATATTATAAAGAATCAACCTGTGAGATATGTTACATGTCTTAAGGTTGACCAGTTGAGAAATGGAAGTTGCTACTGTATCATCATTTTGTTTTTACTGGGAGATATATATATATATGAATAGTAATTTGGGGGATTTGAATAATTTTTTATAATTCATCATGTCTGATACAGCACAAACCTTGGTGATGAAGAGGAAATGAAGTAACTAGACACAATATAGTGCAACTAATCCTGATGGTCTGGGTTCGATTCTCAATCATGGATGCACACTGCTGATGAGACCCCAAAATAGGATGAAACGGTTGTCTAGTGCTTTTCTGCATTCTGTTGAGATTTCTCGGTCTAGAAATGATGGATTATTATGAAATATATATTACTCAAATTCACCCCATGTAAGGCAGTAAAGCCACAAAGATACATTAGTTACCAGGTGTGAAAGAGAAAACCGAAAAATTAAGCGGTGAAAAAAAATAGAAGAGTAATCAGGAAGACAATAGCTGATTGATATTGCATTTAAATTTTTGAAGATCAAAGTAAAGCATGGAGCTGGAAAAGAGTTACATAATCAAGAAGTGCGAGAAAAGAAACTTTTAGCATAGAACTTACAGTTGCATCTAGCTAATTTAACTGTAAATTGAGACCTTGTTGACAATCTAGTACTGCACTTGCATTCATAAGATTTAGGTATCATCATAGCAAAGACTTCATTTGAAGAATTGGTCTGAAACTATTTATAGAAATCTATATACATTTTATTGCTAAAATTAATTTACTGTATTTGGTGGGATTTAACTCATTTTTTTCCCTCCCCCATTAATAAAAAATGGCTTAAAAACTATCTCCTAGAATTTATATGTGAAGTTATCTGCTAGGTTAATGCTTATCCAAAGACGTCATAGACTACCAGTATTTGTACATAGTCTACTTCCATAATACTGTAATATTAAATGTAAATAATGTGGATCTTAAATGCCATCAAGTATGGTAATTCCTGACCATAAAATCCCTTTCTTGACTTTGAAGTTATTTCTATAATAAAATAATTTATGAACTATAAAAAATAAATAGCAATAAATTTACATTATAATATATCTTTATCAGTAATGTTTATATTAATTCCTACCCACTTGAAAATTCTATTTTCAATTTGCAACATGCTATGGGAGTGGTGAAAGTTGCTCCAATTTTTGGGCAGTAATTGCAAAATTCTGTGCTTAAAACCTCATATTCCAGTTGTAAGTGCTTATGTTGCTATGATGGTTTTATTCACATAGTGACTTTCAAACACTTTCATATTCTAGCCTAAAGATCAACACAAATCAATGAACTATTAGAAATTCTTCTGTAAACTGTAGACAAAATATACTCTTTCTACTCTCAGAGCACACTTTTGAAGTTAATGTTTTGCATAAGTTTTACTAGCAGAACATTGACTAAAATTAAATCAACTTATATATCTCAATTGCTTGGTCAGCTACCAGAAATGTTGGTTTACTATGTCATGCTAGGCATTCTTTCTTGCCAGAATCTATCTTGCATATCTACTAGTCTACCATTTAACTATGCTTAGAATATTGCTGCAACATATGGTCTGGTGTTCCTGCTATATATTTAGATGTCCTTGATAAAATCTAAATAATCTGCAACAATATTGATCCTGACATGGCATCTCCAGTTCACTTTCCCACTGCTGTAATGTATGCTTTTCCATAAATACATTCATGGTAAATATTCTGATAAACTCTCCTCTATGGTACCAAGACTCTATGAATTTAGTAAATTGGCAGCAAGATCTCATCATTTTACACTTAAAATGGCTAGATGTGACCATAAGTTCTATATTAAGTTGATTTACTCACACTTCTCGTTTGTGGAATTCTCTTCTGGCTTCTTGCTTTCCAGTCAAGTTTGATCTTCAAAAATTCAAATGCAATATCAATCATTATCTACTCTCCTCACAAATGTTCTTGCTTCTTAATGTTTTTCTTATATTCTTTCACACTAAATAACACCCTGAGTGTTAGTGGCTCTGTGGTGTGCCTTGGGGTGAAATGATTTAAAAAAAAAAAAAAAAAAAAAATTACTATGTGCGGCCCGATCAAAAAGTATCGGGACTGTTGCTATGATAACAGAGCTAAAGTATGCAGAGTGAATTCACTTGGCACAGATTGACGTTGAACTCTGTTGCACATACACACAGTTATAAACAATGAGTGAGGGAAAATATTATAATAGTGTTTTGAAGGAAAGTGTGTAGAATGTGGGTTGTCTCACCACACCACAGTTTCCATCTGACCATGGCTTGTGCAGCAGTTTTTGACTAAGTACAACATTCCCCAGGTCTGACAACCACTATATTCTTGCTCTTTGTGACTTTTTCATCTTTGAAGCTCAAATCCCACTTAAAAGGAACAAGATTTCAAGACATTGAGGAAATCCCAGAGAATGCAGTGAAGCAGCTGCTTACTATCCCCAAAAAAGGAGTTCCAGGAATGCTTCTATCAATGGAAACAATGCTGGTTAAAATGTGTGTATTTAGAAGGGGGCTACTTTGAAAGAGATTAAATGTTGTATTGATGTGTTGTAGTTTCCTTTTTTTTTTATAGCACTAGTCTTGATACTTTTTGATCTGATCTTGTATATGTGAAATGTACAGTATGATGTAAACTTTAACTTCTGATTAATTTTCAGATATTTTGTTACTGTTATGACATTAGATATATAATATGATATATACTCATTAATCAGCCTTTTGTTATTTGTTTAATAAATATTGCCTTTGATATCAAGAGTTATATAAACAGTTTATAAATGTCTATTAATTTTTTTTTACTTAAAACAATAAAATTTTTCTTCTCCAGTTCCAAGCATCCCTGTTCATTGTTCAGTACATCAAAATGGCAGTAAGGGTTTAGTTGCCACTTGGAGCAAACCTGCTCATCCAAGAGGACATCTCTCTCGATACAGGGTTAGTAACTGTTTGAAAGATTCAGCAAATTTACATTATGTATAAGACTCCTTGATTTGTCATCATGAGAGTTTTGGTTGTGCATATATTAGGAGAAACAAGAGAGTAAGTTCTTGCAGTTTTCATCTAACTTGGAATAATTAAGTCTTATCCATTGTTCAGCATGAAGGATCTTTTTTGCATGACACCATTGCATTTCATTGCCACAAATCTGGTCTATAAGATTTTTGCCATTGACCACATCCTACTGCTGATGTCATCACCATAACCCCAGCAGAAGAAGCGTCGGTATGCTATGCCTAACAGTTATGGTGACCTATCTATATTGGAATGAACTCTTCTTCCTTCATAAATACTAACCTGCAAGACTTCCTAAGCAGGCAGTTGGAACACAGTGTAACCTGACAGTACGGACGGACATGTCTATCTGCTGAGTAATAACACTCTTATTTTGTATATGTGTTCTGTTGTTCAACCTACCTTCTTCTTTCTGTGTCTTTCTTTCTGGCCCCTAACAGGCCACAACACTAACCAAACCGGCAACCCATGATTTGGTCCCAGGTACACATGACTTTGAATTCTGAGTTAGAAGAGTTGCAGGAGATTCCGAAGTTGTTTGGAGGCTGTGGTTGAAGCCAATGGCAATTTTATTGAATAAATTTACTCTTTAGTATTTCAAGACTTTTTTGTTTAATTTTGGTAAATATATCTGTTAAAATGAGATGTCAGTGTTAATTTCATTTTTGTGTAATTTAGAAAACAATTTATCCATTGCACCATGGATATAAAAATAGAAGAATATTAGAAAAATGATTTTTATATTGTTAAAATGTGTTCATTTAATAAAACATGTAAGCTTATTTACGATAAAATTATAAACTGTGTATAAGAGGGAGAAAATATCAACTTGGAATATTTTAGGTTTTAATTTGTTGTGAGTGTTTGGTTCATTGTTAATTTTAAAACCTTAAAAAAAGATCTGAAATTGATCTTATTTTTCATTCTAAAATTTTGTTGTTGAAACTTTTTTTTTTCTCTTGTAGATTTACATCAAAGATAACAACACTAAGGCGACTTATTTGATTGAACAAGAAGATACAAACAGAAAGAACTATTCAGTACTTTTGATGTCTCAGCCACTTTTTAGGAACCATACTTACATTATAAAGGTAAAATCTTAATTAAACCAGGATTTATTATTTCTATTTAATTCCAACTTGTCATCTGATGAAGTTAAGCATCACTGGCAGACTTTTAGGAAGTAATAATTAAAATACAAATATTAAAATCAGGCTGCTTTATCTGTTTATCCATACCATAAAAAAAATGATCTATTTTATTAAACTCCTACTTTTATTATGTTTTCATGTGATTTTAAAAAATATATAAACATAGAAAGTACCTGTTAAAAATGATGCTGGATTGGCACTTCTATCTCAAATCAACTTAATCTGTTTACTCTGCCTAAATTAGTATTTGCAAGTTAATTTTATTGTGTTGCTCAATTAGAAGAATGTTATCTTACTGGATATATCTTCTGGTTAATTTCAGGTCAGATATTCCAGTCGGGGCAGAATTCACTTGTTATTTGATATATCTGCTTTATTATAGCAAAAAGTTGCAGACAAAAAAATTTTCAAATGTACATGCCATATTTTATAGTTAGCTGCATCCAGTAATTTAACGCATACAGTAAAATTCAACCATTCACTTGTATTACAAAAATCTTATTGACAGTTTTCTTCCCCCAAAACAAATTTCATGGAGTAAGATTCTGTTTTTAAAAGTTTGGCAGCTTAAAAGGAAGACAACTACCTATATGTTGCTCTTGGTTTTCCTCAAAACTAATTTACATTCTTATTTAATTCCAATAATTCTTAAACACAAGCAAGTCTCCTCATACCTTTTCCTCTGGTTCTATAAAATTAAGCCTTTCTATATTTAACTATTTTTCTCAATTGCTGTCAAGCCACCTTTAGGTTCTACAAACTCCACACAGTGTCAAATTGTGACATCTTGTCATGTATAATAGATTTGTTTTCTGTTTTTAACTTATTTCAAAATTGGTATTTTTATTTTTTTTATTCTGATAATAGAAATAAAAGAAAATATGTGACATTTTTGGATATATGATAAAAACACGAGTTAAAAACTTAAATAGATTTTTCCAGATTATGGAGAAGGTACTGTGAATAATCCAACATATCAAAATTGGTTTGTGATGTTTTTTAGTGGAAATTTCCTGCTAAACAATGCTCTAGTTGAAATTGGTAGTTGTCAAAACATTACTTGGGAATAATTGATCTTGTATGACATAATAGATGACAAACATGCACAAAATATCCAAGTGAAACATTAAAAATCATTTAAGTTAGTCAATTTGGTGTGTGGCATTCATAGAAGGAAATATAATGAACTGTGCAATTCACTATACAAATAATTAAAATGTTTTGTTTTTGAAGTAAATTGAGAAAGGTGAGGGGAAAGTTGACATAGATCATAAAATGAAACACTGTGAAGTTTATTAAAGGTGAAACAAAATGTGGTGCCAAATCTCTGGTGGGATTAGAAGAGATTTCACTACTAATTAAAACCAACTGAAGGCAGCAGTTAACAAATTGAAGGAAGAGTACTAACATTTCATTAATGGTCAACTGCATGTTTCTTTGGTAACCAAACTTCAAAAATTGCCCGTTTGATGAGGAAGTTTTCTGCCTTGTTCACCTTGTTTCAGTTCTTTGCTGATAAAATTAAAATCTTGAGGATTAATTTTATGAAATTGTCTGAATAATGGCAAAAGATAGTGGAACAAAATGGTAAATATATTGTTCAGTAAAATTAGTGACAAAGAATTTTATTTCTATTTAATAAACAAGACAATATTTCTGGCTACTTTGTTTTCTTGGACAATATGAAATGATTTTGTTTTTTGAACATTTAGCTGCTTTCCTAGCAGTGAAGATTTTAGCCCATTTGAAATGAGGCTTAACTTGAAATTTTCATTTCCAAAGTTTCTTTTTATATAGACCTAGTTGAAGAATACAAAATGCAAAAAAATCAACAATTTTAGTCTGAAATTAGCTCTAAATTCCCAAGTTCTGCCTAGTTTATGTAGTTATTTCTATGTCCTTTCTCACCGGAATCATTTTGGATTTTTAATTAATCTTTTATTTGCATTATTTGTCTGTTTCAGATTACAGCTTCTACCAAAACTGGAGAGAGTCCCCCTTGTGTAGGTAGAATCACCTTTGATAAAGGAGGAGTTGTCAGGCCTGTCATGGGTCTCCGTGTAAAGAAAAAGGAAAACTATCTAATTACTTTGATTTGGAAGCCAGTGCTCAATGCCAAAAACTACAGTATCACATACTTGGACATTTGGCACACGGAGAAAAAACTGATTGTCAACAAAACAAGTGCGACAAGTAAGTCCTAAAGTAAAAAAGACAGTTCTAACATTGGTGAAATATTTTTAGACAATTGCCACATGACTTTGAATGTCAGATCCTTTATGGAGTTTAGTCATAAGTAATTTCTGTGTTTGGGAACCAATTGTAAAGAATGGTAAATGTATCATTCTAACTATTAAGCTTATGTTGCATGTAAGAATAAATTTGGTGTACATTAACATATTCTAGATTTTACATAGCAAAGGCAGTGTCCACAATGAGTTAAAAATCTTCTCTTTCATGGCAATGTAAAGCTGCATACATTAAGAACAACCCAGGAAAACATTTTGGAATTTGGCTGGTCTGTTTTACTCCCCCCCACCATATAAACCTGAATTTCAACCAACTGGTTATTGTTGTGTTTTTTTTTGTTTTTTTGGGTTTTTTTTATCACTACAAAGCACTTTGATAAGAAGAATTTTCTGTAATGAAATTAAAATTGAAGAATTTGTTGAAAACTTCCACACCAAAATCTGTGGAATTTTAATCAAAAGGTATGAAAGATGTGGCAACAAGTCATTATAAATAAAGCTGGGAATATATAAAGTAATTGTATTTTATTTTTTGAAGTACAGATAGATTTGATAAATTTGGGTAATGTTTTGTCTAAGATCCTTGCATGAGACTTGAATAATCAGATTGATTGGTGAGTATGAATATAACAGTTGTACAGTACACAAGTTTACTTAGTGGCATCTCTCTGCTGACTGAGTAGCCCCATGGGACAGGCTGTTCATGCATGATCATTAAACTCTCTCTCTGATTTGTTGAGACATGTCACCACTTTTCAAAATGGTGGGATATGTTCCAGAGAAACAGTTTCAGTTATTTCCCTTCAGTAACTCAACTCTCCAAGTTTTTTTTTTTTTTTTACTTCAGGCTGTGGCTAGGTATTGAACTCAAACTCTTTGGATCAAGTCACTGGTTTATCCACTGGGTGAAGTAATCCATTGACTTGACCCAAAGAGTTGTGAGTTCAATACCTAGACACAGCAGAGGTGAACAAAAAAAATTGCAGAATTGATTTACTAAAGTTAAATAACTGTAACTAAAATATCTGGAAGAGGCATAGTACGTAGAACTAGAACAATCTACCCGGGTGGATGAAATAAAGGATTCGGTTCACAATTCCATTCACTTGAAGAAAACTGAAGTCTACAACAGCCGAAATGTTGTGAAGATGACAACAAAGATGAGTACAACAGTCCCAAAAATAAAAATACTGTTAATAATTACAATATTTATCTTAGATATATAAGAAATGGATTAAATCTGACATATTTTTAACTTATTTGTTTAAACGTTATTTTAAATGGATACTCGTATTTGAGATGCTCTGTTTTTATTTATTTATTCACGTCTACCAGCAGGAATATTCAAGAAATCTTGTTAGAAAAATATGTGCACTCTGAGTATCCATTTAAAATAATATTTAAGCAAGTGTGTGTGTGTGTGTGTGTGTGTGTGTATATATATATATATATATATATATATATGGGACACATGCTTTCCATAAAGTTTAGGTATGATTGTAATACAGTCACATTTGATTTTCTGGTATCTTATATGATTTTTATTTATTCTAATTGAAATAAGAATTTGATTTTTCATTAGCAATATATTTCCAAATTGGAAAAAATGTCTAACAGAAAATGCTTTCTTTTAAATTTTATGAAAACTCAAAATTATTCTTCCACTAAATGAAGAAAAACTTGTTTCAATTCTTACAAACTACCCTATCATGTCAAAAATGAAAAAATTATTAGCTCCAAAAATCACAGCTTCATGTGCATCTATGTAGTTGGATCAGCAAGTCTGTATCTTGACACATATCTGGATTTTGATATGAAAATTTCACTGTATAATGTTTCGTCTTATATAATTAATATTTAGCATGGAGTTAGATACATTAACAAAGGAGATTGTTAAAAAAAAATTGTAAAATAATAAATGCCTTTTTCATCACTAGCCTATGGATTTATTGATGTACTGTGTAATGTAGTTTTAAAATGCATGAAACTCTCATCAAATGTCAACTTCTTAAATGGATAGCAAGCCTAGTATACTGAATATATACTGGCAAGTGCCAACATAAACTTAAAATAGATATTTTAACTTTACTGAAAAAATATTCTGAAGAGAATATTTTTAACTTGTGAAAATTACTCCACATTGAAAACTTTTTTTTCTTCTAAACCCTAAATTACTGATTTCTTTTCTTTTTCTCAGTTGAAAATCTGTCACCAGGAACTGAATATGTTTTCCGTATTCAAGGTTTTAACATCATCTCAGCAGGTCCCCCTGCAGAGATAATGGTCAAAACAAAAGGTAAGATTACAATGTCAAATTTATTACATTTAACAAATTAGTTACATTGTTTTTGTTAACTTTTAATTGTATTTTAAGTTTCCCTTGTGAATTGTGTGATAGGCTTACAGTCACATTGCATTGAAACACCTGTTTCCATACGATCATGGAAGTTAAGCAACATCGAGCCTGGTCAGTACCTAGATGGGTGACCACTTGTGAATAACAGGTTCTGTAAACTTGAATGTGCAGATGGTTTAATGGATAAAGGCTTGGAATTGTTAATTGGAGAGCCAAGTTCCAATTCCAGTTGGGTCTGTTAAACTCGCTCACATGTAAATACCTTTGGGAAAGGTATGAATCCACCTCTTCTCCCCCCAGCTATAAGTTAATTAGTAAGACTTGTATCACTAAAATCATTATTATTGCAAGAAAAAAAATTGTATGCAAAATATTTAGATTTTGGCATTAAGCAATCCTTAAGAGGTTAATATGCTGATAAACAAATAAAAAAAAATAATTGTGTGACAGGAAATGTATTAATCAAGGGAAATAATTCTATTTTTCAAGACTATCCAAATGCTGGAAAGAGGTTACTTAAATGCTTGTTGGAATTGGGAACCTACTGGAATTTTCAAACTTTAAATGTCTAAGACAATAGAATTTTTTTGTTAAAATATTTGTTACTTGATAAAACAGTCATTAAATATTTTTTATGGATAATTTTCTTTCTGCAGACCAACAAATCAGTCAGCCAAATTTGATAAGTGCAATTTCAATTGATAAAACATCCTTTAACGTTTCATGGACAGGAGAAAAACTAAATCATCATCAGGCAAGTATTTAATCTTTAATATTGCTATTTGCATTATTCAAGTGGGCACCAACAGAAAATGAAATGACTGTGCTCTAAAGCATGATGAAAGCTTTATTTTTCTTGCTTGAGTATGTGCAAGCTCAAGCATAGTAGATATTTTGATAAAATTTTCAGCGCCTTCAACCATCTTATATAGTAACACTCATCAGTTCACTGTATCTGTACTTTCAATGGTGATGCATGCTATTAATAAGATTTAGTGCATATGAAAGTGATCAGAGTAAGCAGATGTCAAGCCATTGAAATATACATAAGATCTTTTCATTCATCTTGAAAGGAGTTGGATTGTGCACCTTTCAGAGGTGTAGCAGACATTAAATCTTTTCGCCTGACGTGTGTGCGTGAAAAACCCTATCAGCAGAAGTACCCCATTTCGGCTTTTGAGCATGCATAAAAAGAAAAAAATTTGAGCATGCATGCTGTAGATTAGGAAGAGGCTAGTTCTCTTTCCCTGCAGGCCAACATCGAGAAGGGATGCTAAAGTTAGCACTCTATGCAATAGACACATGGCATAGACAGTACACTTCGCACACTTGTTAATTCACCAGCAGAGTAACTTTTCTTTCATTATTTACAGAGACTTAAGAACATTCCTTGAAATTTTTCTACACAAAAAATGTTCCCAATAGAATAAATATTTATGTCTTGTTCTGTTTCAGTCTTTTGTTTGTCTATTTTCTCAGCACACTTAGTTTTTGTTCAACACATGACCCCTGGCCTGGTAACAACACTTTGATGGCCATGAGGTTAGCTGTGGATTTCTTTACTTTGTGTTAACTTTACTGCAAGTCATTTTGGAGATTTGCTCTCCATATTGGACATAATGCATTGTTGATTTGATGTTGATAATAGTGAATCAGATTCTAGACATCTACAACGTATAGATGTATGCCAAGATCAACACATTATATGGGTAGCAGTATCAGATTGCACTTTTTAAAATATATTTTTCCATATTTTTATACAAAGACTTTCTTGTAAGCATTTTATTTTTTTTTTTAGAGAAAGCAATTTTACTTCATATAACTTAATAGGCAAAATATATTGTTAAATGTTTCCAAGAAGTTATTGTCAAGATATGAGTGAATTTAAATATCTAAGATGTTAAAACTTTGACTATAATGAAACACTGGAGCAATGACTGACGCCTCATCTGCTGATTCCTACTTAGTTGAAGAGTTCTGATGTGCATTCATTTTATCAGCATTTATTGATGTAATTTGGATTATAACTGTCAAATACTTCTGCTGTACTGATTTCCATTTATTTCTTTTTTGGCTGCTGCTTTAAAATAATTTGCAGTAATTGTAGATAGTGCCAAAGTCAATGAGATTTTGGTAAGCTTTTAATACATGTCACCAGCTATACTGATTATTTTCCATATATTTACTCTTACTTTTGATTGGTCAACAATTGTAATTAAAAAAAAAATATTGGCAAAAAAGCAGATACAGGAAAAAAATGGAACATTTAAGTATGTGATATTTCAGTGGAAATATTTGATGTTACATTGATAGAATGCAGACAATGACATGAAAACTTGTAATCAAGTCTATTTTGAATGGAATCTTAAAGTTTACATACAGTGGAAGACTAACCCACTGGGATACCAGGTAATTTCCAAAGCGAATAGTCCATAATAACTGAAAAAAGTAAAAGTAAACACTAAAAAAAAAAAAAAAATTACATAGATGTTGGGAAGATTTGAATATGGCTTCTTTGATGCTATGATTTCTGTCGGTAGATAATAGATATCCTTAGTTCCTTGTTTTGGGATTGTGGGTTCTTTTGACCAGGCCTTTTTACAAGTTTTCCTGGTAGAAATTTTCAACCCAGTCTGCCACTATTTACATATGTTCTAAATTAGTTGAGTTTATATATTTCAAAGTTTTATTATATACAACTATAAGGTTTTCCATGAATAAATGAACTTTCCTCCTGATGAAAATTTTATTAAATCATTCTCAACATATTTTTGACTTTATCATTATGTGATATAAAAATACAGTGGACAGGAGCTATCGTATAGATTTGCTCAATTGTTTTTCACTCTTTAAGCCACACTTGTCACCAACAATATCATTGCCTCATGTTTTGTCTTTCAGCCAAAATGTTATGCACTTGAAATATTCATCCTTTTGATCTTCTTTTTCTTCAAAGCAATATGTGGTGTTTTATGACACACAACCTCGAAATATGGAAGATTCTCATATCGACGATGCTCGTTGGGTTCAGTATACAACCTCAACATATATTGTGCTGAAGAACCTGCAGGCTTGTGAAGCGTACATTGTCAAGGTTGGAGTGGTTAGGTTTAAAACTAGTCCATTGAGTCCCCTCAGTTCATCAGTTCTTTTCCAAACTGCTCCAGGTAAGAAATGGCATTTCAATGAAATTTTCCAACATTTCTTTTACCTCCAAATTTGAATATTTTAATCATTGTTCTCAAGAAAGGCTTAAAATATTATAAACATAAAATTAATTTCTTTTTTTGTATCAAATATTACATTATATGCACAAACTGTCAGATTTTGACAGAATTAAAATATTTTATCTCTTAAGAAAAATATACATTTGCAATTATCCAAAACGATTAAATTTTTTCATCATGAGTGATAGCAAATTTCAGAAATTGGTTGCTTCTTGCAAATAGCTAGTGATTAGTACCCCTCAAAACGATGCAGTTTTTGATTTTTTTTTTTTTTTTTTTTTTCAATTCATATGAAGTTGATTTTTCCAATTTCTATTTTTTTTTCCTTCCCTGTCACAGTCAGAAGACAAAAAATCATCAGAGGAACTTTTCGACTTGCTAAAATATTTTGAATTGTTTTAGATTTATTTTTAACGACAGTTCATTATCCAAATCCTCCTTGATGGTTATTTGAAATATGTTCCTTTCTTCAGAGTGAAATCTTTACAACAATGATTGTATTGTTCATTAGCAGTTCTTTCTCTAAAAGTCAAAAGAATATTTCTCCTGATTGAAGCAGCTACCAGTTTAAAAAAAAAAAAAAAAAAGCCATTTTCTAAATCTGCATCATGATACAAACTTACCTAAATCCATCTTCATAGTAGAATATCATGAATTGGACTATCTAGTATTTATAAAAGAAAATTTTTTTTTCATTTTGAAGTCCGAAATAAAGTACTTTCATTCAAATGCCAAAATACATAATTCTTGTTTTTCTTTGCAGATGAACACGCGCAGCCCAAGGATGTAGAGTTGAAACGAGTCAGTAACAAAACTTGTGTGAATATCTCATGGCATGCTCCATGTTATGAAATAAAAGAGAGGAAGGTTAGCATTTTTCTTCTGATATTTCTTCTCTCTTTTCTTCTGATATTTCTTCTCTCTTTTCTTCTGATATTTCTTCTTTTTTCTTCTGATATTTCTTTTCTTTCTGATATTTTCTCTCTTTTCTTCTGATATTTCTTCTCTCTTTTCTTCTGATATTTCTTCTCTCTTTTCTTCTGATATTTCTTCTCTCTTTTCTTCTGATATTTCTTCTCTCTTTTCTTCTGATATTTCTTCTCTCTTTTCTTCTGATATTTCTGATATTTCTTCTCTTCTGATATTTCTTTTTTTCTTCTGATATTTCTTCTCTTTTTTCTTCTTTCTTCTCTTTTTTCTTCTGATATTTCTCTTTTCTTCTGATATTCTCTCTCTTTTCTTCTGATATTTTTCTTTCTTCTGATATTTCTTTTTTCTTCTGATTTCTTCTCTTTTTTCTTTCTTCTCTCTCTTTTCTTCTGATATTTCTTCTCTCTTTTCTTTCTCTTTTTCTTCTGATATTTCTTTTTTTTCTTCTGATATTTCTTCTCTTTTTCTTCTGATATTTCTTTTCTTTTCTTCTGATATTTCTTCTCTCTCTTTTCTTCTGATATCTCTTTTCTTCTCTCTTTCTTCTCTCTTTTCTTCTCTCTTTTCTTCAACTACAAACTGGCACAACTTTTATTCCTATAAATAAATAAAACCTTTGCATTGCCAAAAGACTTTGTGGTAAAAGGCTAATTTATTATTCCCAAATAAATTTGCAAGAAGCCTGTGTTTTCTTAGGATTAAACTCATTAACACTAACATTTTAGAGAATCAGGCTTGATCTGTATGATGTTTTTTAGACAAAACAAAAGTAAATTCTGCTTTGCCTCTCAGCATGACTTTCCATGTAGTGGCTAGCCATAAAAACAGAAATGAGATTTGCTCATGTTTCTTGGGTGGGGGATAGATAAGGAATATGCCACAAAAACCTATGAAATGATAATGATTGAATTAACATTTTGACTATGTGGAGAAGATGAAAGAGGTTGTGATGAGGAATCCTGGACATCTTCACTTTTGAGAGTTACAAAGGTATTCTTCAAGAAGTAGCTGGAGTCAGAGGATCTTACTTTGAAGGAGATTGAATTTTGTATTGTTTTGAAACAGTTTCCTGAAAAAAAATCTCCAAACTTTCAGAGTGAACCATGTATGTCTACACTCATTAAACTAATGGTCATATCCAGGTCTAAAACCAAATGATACCGATTACTTAAAATTTTCTTTATCATTCTACAGGGTAGTAGCACCTGTTAGGGTCCAAGCTATGGGCAAATAGGGAACCCCCCAAATAAAAATAAAAATGTCTTTTATAGTAAAAATACCAGCAATACATTTACAAAATAAAAGAATTACTGATAATACATTTTTATGGGTGAATGACCGACAATACATTTTTATGGTTGAATGACCAACTATACAAGATTAAAAAAGTATAAAAATAGATTTTTACCAACAATACATTTTATCATCCACAAACTATAAATATGAAAAAAATACACATGTTTGCCCTGAAAGCATAAAATTATGTACCAAATATCAGGAGTTGAAGCCGTAAAATTGTATTAAAATATTTAGATTTTGGTATTAAATTACCCATCAAGCTGTTGATATGCTACTAAACAAAATCAACCAAACAACCAATTTATCATTTTAATTTCTATGTCAAACCTTTTGTGCCACAGAATGGAAAGCCCTATATGAGACTTGTTACTCTTTACTATAAACTAGAATAAACTTTCTGCTATTAAAGAGGTATATAATTATATATACACACACATACATACACATATATATTTTCTTTTTTTTTTTTTTTTTTTTACCTTTGTAATCTTTAAAAATAGTAGTTAACTTCCCCCACCTATGGTACATATATGTACTTGACTAAATAAATTGAAATGATATCTGTAAATCTTTGCTTCTTTCATGTCAATGTTTTCTTTTCTACTTCCAGTTGTATATAATTTATATTGAAGGCTCAAACCCGGTGTCCCCTTTGCCACCATCAGCCAATGATTCTCTGTCAACGCAACTGTGTGGCTTTAAAAGAGGAGCAACTTATAACATATCTGTTGCTATAAGTAAATCAAGAAAATCGAGACCTGTTACTTTCTCTGTTGGTGAGTAATATATTGTATTGCTTTTAGAGTTTAAATTGCTTTCATTGTTTCCAGAATTCTGGCTGACTGTTGATTTTGAACTGTGATGTATCATTCATACTATATGGCAGTGAATCCTGGACAATTTCCTCATGGATGAAGAGAAGACTTTAGGCAACAGAAATGTAATTCTATGAAAGAATGCTGAGAATACCATGGACAGAGCATGTAAGCAATGAGGAAACTTTAATAAAATGAAAATATAAGTGTCACTTACACTTAGAATCTGTAATCTCCAAGGCATATAATGTAGAAAGAAAACTTGGAAAATTTAACTTGCAAGTCATGGCAAAGGGAAACAGCAAGTAACCTACCAAGAAGCTTTTGTAAATGGATGTTGGAACAGAGTGTTTTATAACATCAGTAATGTTGATTATGATGATGATTGTAAGTATTTTTGGTCCCATTAGGGAATGCTGGGTCAAATGGATAAAGCAGGAGTTTGTATAAAATAGATATCAAGTTTTAGCACGTCTTGTCATCTTTATGTTGCTTTGGCCTTTTCAGCTGGCAGACTCGTCATTTATCTTTCCCTCTGAAGCCCAGTGGAACACAGGGAATGGAAGGGGTAATAAAGATATTGCTGAGTTCTCCAAAGAACAGGAAGTTGTGGCGATCTACAATCGCCCACATCCTAAAGGGATATGGCACATAAAAGGCATTTTTATTCTTATACAATTGTAAATATATTTTTTTATTTTTTTCCTACTGTTAATAAAACTTGATCAATGGTCTTCAATCAAACTTCTTTTTTTTTTTTTTTTTAAGAACTTCATGACTTTGTTGGAAAGATTTTTTTTCAAAATGCTTGGCAAGTTTTGTTGTACAAATTTTGTTATTTGAATGAAAAATTACAAGAAACTAAGTTAAAATAATTTGTCTTTTACTTAAATGAGTTTCCTAGTTTGATTATCCATATATGCCACATGAATATTTACATGTCTCTAACTTTTTGCCGATTAGTATGGCTAATGAAATTTTCCATTGCCACTTAAAAAAAAAAAAAAATTGATTTCTTTTTTAAAAAAAAATACTGTACGAAAGGTAAACTTCTTGAAACTAATTTATTATTCTTTACTGAGTTAAGTCCCTTGGATTGTTGTACTACTTTTATGGGCCGTCTCCCGTCAGTACGTGGATGATTGATTCTCCACAGCTTACAGCGGTTCTAGTACGATAACCGAAGTTAAGCAACATCAAGCCTGATCAATACTTCAATGGGTGAATACCAGGTACTATAAACTTGTATGTTTGAGTTGTGTAATCGATAATGACTTGGAATTGTCACTCAGAGAGCTGAGTTCCAATTTTGTTTGGGTTTGTTATATTCACTTATGTACAAATACCCTTGGGAAAGCTATGAATCCACCTCTTCTCCCTCCAGCTATGGGTCACTTACTAAGTATAAAATCATTCTCAAAAAAATTAAAAAATTCTTACAATCAAAAAATATTTTCTGGCTTTAAATAATCTACAGAGTTGATAAGCCATAGAAAAGAAATCATTCAATTTTCTAACTTTCTGTCCTTTATAGTGCTTAGGAATGTTTACTTTTGTTTTTTACTATCCTTCACATATTGTTGGTCATCTTTGCTTATTCTTCTTTCATTACAGAAAAAGATCTGTATATTTACAAAATAATAAATACTTGTCTCGGACACAATGTAGTTATAAAGTTTAAATATCAAGTATTTAAATTTTGACAAACTTTCTTTTGCTTTTATTAAGTTTTATGTTGATACATTCTTTGACATTGTAGACAATCTGAAGTCATGGGCAGGGGAATTAAGTTATCTCTGACAAGATTTAAGCCTGCATGGATATCTTAATTTTACTATGGAAAAGCCTCATGGTTAGACAGTTCCAAAGACTGAGAAACCAATTGTTAAAAGTATGGATTTCTGAGATGAGGAATATTCATTATTTACATTTGGACTAATATCCTTATCTTTGTTATTACCACAATTTTTCAGCAGTTGGGTCTTCTTCTTGATCCAGGTAACCTTCAGGGAATTTTGAAGTGATCCTTTTATTTAATTTGCAGAAGTAGATTGCTCTTGTTCTGATGTCTATGTTTAGGGATAATAATTGTAAATTCAATCCCTGAGCCAAGTAGTCCAGATTTAGATTCAAAGTAAAGAGGGCAAGCAATAGCTGAGCAGTAGTAAAAAGAATGAGACAAGGTATCTCAAGATATGAACAAGAAAATGAGAACAATCTATTTTGGTAGATAAAATAAAGGGTTCAGTTCAAATTCACTGAAGTTTATTTGGATCAAGAAACACCTGAAAAAGTCCTGGGGACACAACAGCAGAAATAGTGTTATAAGAACAAAGATGAGAAGTTTAGTCCAAATGTAAATAATCATTAGCAATTTATTTTTTTAATCCATTATTTCATTTTATTTTTAATATATACAATTAAGACTTTTCAAACTAATAAAAAAAATAAATAAATATATTCTCATTTCATCTTTTCTTTCTTTAAAAATTTTTTCCTTTAAATATTTTCTGCTCAGTTTTCTGTAAATTACGAAAAAAAAATTTGAAGCTAATCTTTTTTTTTTTTTTTTTTTTTTTTTTTAAATGAGCAATTAATTACAAATATAATTTGGAGAGAAAAAACCCCCGAAAACTTATCTTTTCTTTTTTTTTTTTTTTTTTTTTTTTTTTTGTACTAAATCAAACTTTTTCTTTTTCACTAAGAAATCTCTTTTCTACTTACTAACCTCCCAGCAAGGCAAAATGTGGCACAAGGCCAGTTTTTAACGTTGGGCTTTCCGAGCCCGTAGGCTCGGGCAAAAATTGCCCATAGACCCCATATACACGAGGTTGGGCTTGTCTCCCTCTCTAAACGAGACTCTGCCCTTCGGCATAGCCTCGACTAGGTTTCTCTCCGCCCGGAGGCAGAGAATTTGACAAGAGAGGAAGAGGAAAAAGCCTCGTTTTCGTCCTCCAAGAAATCTCTATCCAAAGAGAATGTTAAGAGTTACTTCCCTTTAATATAATATCTGAGAAATTCTTTGTAATCAACGATTATTTGTGATATTTACGTCGTCACTTTATATTGAAATCCATAAACTTTCTTTTTCGACTATTATAATTCGGTAATATGTATAACGATAATTCATTTTCTGATATGCATCTAGTCATTTTTAAATTCTAAAATTATTTTTTAATATGCATCTGTAAATTTTTATTTTTGTTTTTCTCCATCAGAACCTTATGAAGATCCAAAATCGGTGAAAGTTGTTGATAAAGATTCAGAAAAATATTTGTATTCCTTGGTTTGGAATAATTCCCCGGTGACATCAAAACTCTTCAATGTAAGTGTTTGTTATTTCTCACAAATTTTCAATGAAACTAAATTCCCTAAAAAACTTGTTTCCTACATTTTTTACAATAAGATCAATGGACTTGTGATTTTTTTTTTTTTTTTTTTTTGAACCTCCCCTCCCCCAATCATTTCATTCCAAGTAAGTTAATAAGACCACTAAAACATAAGTGGTTACTAAGTGTGAAAGAATAAGAAAAACAGAGAAGCCTTATTAAGGAGCTAAAACAAAAGACAGTAGATACCAATTGACATTGCATTTAAATTTTTGAGGATCAAAGTTGGCTGGAGAGCATGGAACCAGAAGAGTCCCTCAAGCAAGAAGTGCGAGAAAAGAAATGGTCAGTGGTCAGATGCAGTTGTTAAATGTACATTTGTCTTTCTGATTCAAATAAATATATTTACCATGATTTATGACCAATACACATTAGGTTTATCTTTTCTATGGTATAGTAGAAGTGTTATAAATTTCAGTAGTGATATCCAATCTAATTTCACCTGCAAATCCAGGGCCAATCAATTTTCAAGGAAAACTGGAAATTGTAGGAAAAGTCAAAAAAAAAAGAAAAGAAAATTAGTGAAGTTCCTATAAATTCCTAAAAGTTAGGGAATTTCTTGTTGTTAAGGACCCTATAATTTTTTTTGTGGTATTTAATAACATTGCTTGTTTGTCTTTGTTTGTCCTATATTTTTAGTTGGATTGAAAGCTGTTGTCAGGTCCAAGAAAGCAAACATAAAAATAATGTCCTTAAAGTTAAGGGATATCCTCAAATAGCATGGGGATTTGAGATGATTAACACAATAGAAAAAAAATCTGGGAAATTTTGTTAAATCAGATGCTAACAGTTTCTTTTTTCACACTTCTTGCTTGTGGAACTTATTCTGGCTTTTTGCTTTCTAGCCAACTTTGATCTTCAAAATTTTAAATGCAATTTCAATCGTTATCTTCTCTTAATTTCTGTTCTTTTATTGTTCTCTTTCCTTTCCTTTTTCTATTTACACACTCGGTAACTTCTTGCATATTAGTGACTTTATTGCCTTGCTTGGGGTGAAATGATTAAAAAAAAGTCATTGGTTACTCTGAAATCTGCAGTGTTCATAAATAAGTAAAAAGAAAAAGAAATCTTATTGATAAATTGTTGTTTTATCTTGGTTCTGTGCAAGTTAGCAGCTGCCACTTGCAAACATTGTCTGTATTTGATGTCTTTCCTTTCGGCAAGAAATGAATGGTTCCTCAACAGAAATAGCTATATTCTAATGTGCTAGTATTTGTCAGTAGAAAAAGAAAATTATATATGCCTTTGTTTTTCTGTGTGGACCCACATGCTCACCATAGTTGTTATCTTCACATTTCGACTGATCTATACCCTCAAACTATATTTAGATATCTCACTTGTGATTGGTAATCTATTCAGAATCTTAACCTTTATCACTCTCTACATGTCTTCATTTACTCTACAAAAAGTTTCACCTGCCACTGAAGGTGAGTCTAATCCCTGAACAATAGTCTGTTTGAATTTCATTGTTGTGTTGTCATATCCTGCTATGGCGACAGTAAACAACTTTGAGTGAAATTAACAATAAGTATACTGCAATTGAGAAACCTCGAAAAAGAATGCAATGGAAAGGGAAATAATATAAATAATGCAAAGTGCTAAAAGTTAAAATAAAAACTTTATTTAATCCAGGGCTAGGGTAGATCATTGACATTCTGCTGCCAATGCTTAAGGGAGATAATTCTTATCAGTTAATTATTTCTATTTATCCACCTTTGTACCATTTGGTCATTTTATCCCACTGAATTAGTGTGAATAATCCACATGCTCTATCTAACCCAGGCCGTAGGACTCTTTTGGAGTCTTAAACCTAACATCTGTACTTATGTAGTGGAATTTTTCAGTGTTCACCTCTATGATGGATCTACTGAGGTTGCTAGAGCTTGACATGTGCGCTTATTCTCTTATTCATCTTATCCATCCTCTAGTGTTTATTCTCCTGACTTCATTCCACATTCTCTCCTTAAATGATTAATCATACTCAATTTCAATATCGCCACAAACCAAATACAGGTTTTTGACGTATTCCTTACTACACCTTTCCTCTTGAGAGGTGCTTTGTTCAAGAGAGATCTCTGAACATTTACAATGTTTTGAATACAGACATGATATTATATGAACTGCAGTTCCTCTAAGTCATTTCTAATGTACCTGTTATGTCTCGTAGACATTGTGGTCCTTCACTCTGTCTTCTCTGTTCGTGGAAACTGATGTTTTTATACTCTCAGGATATTTGTTAGGTTGAAAGTTGTTTCTCATGGTGATCATCTGTTTGTATGTGTCTATGTTGACACTTAGGAGTTTGGCACAAGGATAAAGGCAATGAACAGTCACTTTCTTGACATTGTATAGATAATGGGAATTGAAGTTCAGGTACTGTCCAGTGAATGTTGTCTGTTATAAAGATGTCATAAAGCCATACTCTGTGTGAGTCATCCAGGAGAGCCAGTTGATCTACAACTTCGTTTTCCATAGTGAATGGCATGATAGGTATTATGGTTCATTAGTATTTTCAAGTCTTCTTGATGGGATCAGATTGTGAAGGCATCATCTGCATCTCTAAATCATGTGCTTGGCTTTAATTGGCCAGATAGAAAGACATATAGCGATGACTTTAAGGGGCCCAGATAGAAATCGTCCTGTTGGCTGGTGTTTCAGAATATGCCAACTGCACCTCTGCAGAGGGGAAAGACACTCCCAATGAGGCCACCTATTTGCCATTGGTGGCAACCCATGATGCCTGAGGACAGGATCCTGATAGTTCAGTATCTCGGCATTTGGTAGAATACTTCTGAAAACTTACTCCAAGAAGAATGTGCCCTAAAGATATCAAAGCTACTAACAAAAAGAATATTGCAAATTTATTAGCACAAAACTTTTCTCAAAATCCTTCCTCAAAAAATTCTACTAAGCTATTTCAGAATATCAAAACAAGAAAAAATTAAATTTCTACTTTAACAATAATGAAAATTACAACCAGGCTCTTATTTTGCCAAAATTACTAAATTCTATAAGAAAATCACACAATTCAACAGTTGGCCCAGATGAAATTTACTACGAATTCTTAAAAAAAAAAAAAAAAAACTTACCATATGTTTCCTTGAATTACCTATTCAAAATTCTCAACAACATATGGGTCAGTAGTAATATTCCCAGTCACTGGAAACAAGCTACCATAATTCCAAAACCAGGAAAGGACTTAGAAAATACCTGTTTAAGCAAAACATTTGAAAGAATTGTTAATAAAATGCTTACTTGATTTCTTCAAGCTAATAATAAAATTACAAATTTCCAAGCTGGCTTCAGAAAGAATAAAAGCACAATCTATTCACCTGGTTTGACTGGAGTCTTTTGTCAGAAATTCTTTCATTATTCAGAATTCTTTGATCTGGTAAAAGTCTATGATACCACCTAGAGATATGGTATCATCAGTGGCATAGTCAGTGTTTTTTGACAACCGGGGTGGATCTCAAGTTTGCCACCTCTCCCCAGAAGGAATACAATATTACAATGCACATTAACCCCTTAAAATTATATATATAGTTAACGACAAAAATATTCGTACACCTATAAATTTTTAATATTTTTATCCATTTCTCAGAATCTATTGCCCATATGATGTCAGGTTTTTTTTTCCATGTTTCTGTTTACGTGGTATTTATAACTCTTCACTGATAAATTATGAAATAAAAGCACAATTATGCTTTTTTATTTTTTAAAAAAAAATAAAACCAGGGATATGTCAAAAAAACTAAAAGTTGTTACTTTTTTTTTTTCTTTTTTCTAAATAAGGAAAACTTTTTATGATATTAAAAGAAAGATAACTTGTTTTTGTTTATATACCCTCTGTTTTATTTAAAAAGGAAAAACAAAAAGACATTGTACTTTTAATTCATAATTTATTAGTTTTTTTTTTTTTTTTTTTTTAATATTTCAATTCTAACAATTGAGGAGTCATAAATTAAATACCACGTTAAAAGAAAGTTAAATTATTTTGTTTTACGTAGTTGAAGTTATTACTGGCAAAATAGTAGGCTAAGAATTAAAAGTCCAATAAAATTAATTTCACTTTTAAAAACTGAAATAGATCTCATCATACTTTTAATTCTTAGTCTGTTTTGTTTAATAAAACTTCAACTAGCTAAACAAAAAAATAAATGAATACAATATGGGAACCAGTAATAAGGAGTGCCAGAGAAAAGCGATAACAAAAATTGCAATATAAGCTCTGATAAAAAAAAACATAGATGATAACAGCAAAAATCGCAATATGAGCACTAGTAAACAAATGGTTGCTGAAGACATTATTTAGGTTTATAATACCTAGAAATTCATATACAGATGTCCTCATGGCACATGGAACTAAAACAGTCTACCGCAGTGAGCAAAATAAAGGGTTCAGTTTGACATTCCAACCTCCGGAAGAAGGCCGGAGTGTACAACGGCCAAAACGTTATAATAAATATGGTGACAAAGATTTGGACATTAGTCCGAATAATGTAAATAGTGAAAAAAAATAAAACCGTGAAAACTTGTAAATTGAAAACTGAAAAAATGACTGTTTTTGGACTTTAAATAAAGTTTCTGCAAAAAAAAAAAAAAATATTCATTTATGTTTGATATTTCCGAAAAAAATTGTAATGCATGTAATATCTTTAAAGCATTGAAATTATTTCAATTTATCGATTTTATAATTTATGAAAAGTAATGATTTTATATCCCTATTAAAGCTAAGCCTATAAGATAAAAAAAAAAATAATTGGTTCACTTAATTATTTAATTTTTTTTTTCACTAACAGTTCACAGACATGAAAAATCAAAATCAAAGAACTGATGCCAAAGTCTGGACTTCTCACATAGGTGTGAAAAAACTGTGTGGATTCACTAAATTCATTTAATCCAACCCCACATCAAGCCCTTTTAAAAATGTTCAGATTTTTTTTCGCACCTTTTGCTCACATCTTGTAAGTGGGGTTTATCCCAGCCAGCTGACAATGCATTTTGGAGACAATTTTTTTTTTTTTTTTTTTTTTTAAATATTGTGGGCAGGTTTTGAACCAGTCATATCAAAGACAAATTGACTTCATTTGAACCCTATCTTTTTTCCTATTATTGATTTTTTTTTTTGCAAAAACCATTGAAATTATGCTATTGTTTTTTTTTTCTTTTCTGAAAATTCACTGCAGACCAAAAGCGCCTGACAACTTTGAAAGCTCCACCATAATCCTGAATTAAGACTCTATGGTATAGAAGTGCTTGTAATAAATCAATACAAATACCTAAATTGATAAAAAAAAATTATCCTTCATACCCCATATTTGAATACCTTTTGTGAGAAATGCATCAAAACTATACATCATCTCAGTCATCTCTTGCAAAGACTTGGGAGATGACAGACAGACGTTACTAAAACTCTATTGGACAGTGATTAGAGCCAAATTGGATTATGAATGCATTATCTATGGTGTGGCAAGAAAATCGTATGTGAAATAACTAAATACCATTCATCACTAAGGTCTGTAATTCATTTTAAGAGCCTATAATATGTCCCTAATTGAAAGTTTATACACTGATGCACATGAGCCACCTTTGGCATTAAGACAACATTAGTTGGCACTGCAATATAACACCAAGCTTTGTTTATACCCAAATAATTCAGCTTACAACTATGTTCTCCAACCTGGATACAGAGTTACATAATTTAAAGGAAAATGCCATTAAATCTCTTGGTATCTGCATAGAAAACAATTTCAAAGAACTCAAAATAAATTCTTGCCTAATATTTAAATATGTTCTCTCAAGAACTCCTTCTTGGTTAATAAAACAGCACAGTGTAAAAACAATGGCAAAACACTCCAAAAGTGAAACTGTTATAACTGTATTCATGGAAGAAATTCATATCCTACAAAAAGATGAAGAACCACCCATATGCATAGTATGCCAGGCGACCTACACCACAAAACATTTTATGATGGACTGGGCCAAGTTTAGCCCTATCTGTAAATGCCTTTTATAAGGTGAATAGACTTAAAGATCCATTTTGACCTACCTGATGAAAAGTAAATTATACACCAAAATTTAATTCAAACGACTTCACCTTTATATGAACTGTACAACCAGCTTCCAATTATATTCCACAAAGTTTAAAACTTTGTATGATATCATTGAATAGAAATGCATTTTTCAACATTAAATGACCCAAGAGGGTTGATGTGTTCATAAAATAACCAAACCAGATAGAAAGACATATAGTAATGATAATTCCAAATTTAGAAAATTCCAACATGGAAAAAGAATGTATAACACTTCTGTTGATGTATCAAAAATAATTCTGTTTTTTTTGTTTTTTTTTTTTTTAATTGCAGGGTTATCAAGTTTTTTACAGAAAGGCAGGGCAACCTAATTTTAAATTGTACAAACAAGTTCAGTCTAATCATGTCAGCCTTAAAGATCTGTCTCCAGGCTTTGTCTATCAACTGAAAGTTAGATTGAACAAGATTGATGGCTACTATGGCAAGTTCAGCTCTCCTGTTGACTTGGAAATACCAAGTAAGTAAATCTTCACTTTGAATCTTTCACTGTTTCTTGGATAGAGATTAAAAAAAAAAAAAAAAAAATTTTATGATCCATCACATTGTCAACGTGTTTCCCTTCAACAGAAAATGTTGATAGAAAATTTACCTCATTACAGTTGATGGTACGTTCTTTTTATTATATGCAAAATAGTGGCTACTCCCACCATTCCTCATCCATATTTTTAGTAATGCACAAATGGCCATGCTTGCTCACTATTCCTGAAAAGGCATAGAACATAAACGAATAATAATAGAATTCAATCATGGCCCTCAACAACTTCTTATTTTTATTGTTTAAAGTAACATTTGGCCTTTTTACCATTTCTCTTCATGTTCTCTGTTCTGCCATCTATTCACACAAACCTGTTAAGTTTTCCTTTACTTCCCTTGTTTTCAATATATCTTATGAGTATTAAATTCTCTAGGCCCTCTTTCCTGACTATAATTCACAGAAATTACAATTAACTCTTTCTGATTATGACTATAAATTTCCTTGTAGTTCCTATTTTCTTTATGACTTTCCTCGTTTCTCATGTTTTGTCCATTGTATTAACATTCAGCATTAGAACCACCTTTTGTTTCAAGTCTTCATCTGTGAAAAGATTGTTCAGTATTTTCTGTCATATAGAAGCTTAGATATTACATAAGTTCAGCACTCTTTTCTTTGTTTCTCATGACATTTTTTTTATGTCTTAATACTTTGCTTAACAAAAGATGTCCTCTAGAAACTATTCCTATGGAACTTGGGATTTCTGTATATCTTTTTTCCATTTTTGTTACTATATACTCCAGGTAATTAATTTTTTGTACCTGCTTGATTTTAATGGTCCCAATACTTAACTCACAACTTGGTGGTTTTTGGCTTATAAGCATGCATATTCTTTTCTGACAGTTAATAGTTATTCCTTTTTTTTCTTTTTCCTTTCTGAGTTTGCCATTTGCACAGTGTCATCTGTGTATAGATTAGATATTACATAGTAGTTCAGTTGTTAAAATTAGGTTTACTTAGTTTCTTTGGCATTGCTATGAAGATTGATCTTTTGAGGTTTTCTTGTATTTCACTGTTATATATTTATTCTATGATCTCCTGATCTGTGAAATAGTGTAAGGCTTACATCATCTCTACTATAATCCCATCTTGTGCTGCTTTGTTTTTTGTTCATTTTGGCTGGTATGGAATTAATCTCTGATTTCCATATTACATCTCCTTCAATCTATTTATATCTTGTAGATGTTGCTCTTCTATTCCCATGTAATTGTTCCATATTTGAAGTAGCTTTTCCTTATCTATTATGATTGTTTCTTTATTTAATCTTGTTGAAGAGTACATTTTCTATTCTGCTGTTTCTTTTATCTTTTTATGCATGCCTGTTATGTCTATATGGCTGTGAATGATGGACAATCACCTCAAAGATAAAGAGACTTGAAGCAACAGAAATGTGGTTCTACAGAAGGATGCTAAGAATATCATGGACTGACATATGAGCAATAACAAAATTTTAGACACAATGAAAACAAAAAAGGACACTTATACTTAACATCAGAAAGAGTTGAAATTTATAGGGTACATGATGAGGAAAGAGACCTTGGAAAATCTGATACTCACAAGACAGATTGAAGACAAGAGGGACAAAGAAAAACTGTATAACCTATCTGGCAAGTTTAAAGGAATAGATGGTAGAACAGGGTTTGGGAGCGATAACAAAAAAGACTAACTTTATTAAGAGCTACAAAGGATAAGAAGTTGTGGAAATCCATGATAGCCAATGTCCAGAAGGGACATGGTACATAGAAGAATTTACATCTATGTTCCATGGTGTTTATCTGCACACTTTTCATTGAGTCATTCATCTTTTGCTTGCTTGCATCTGTTTCTCATGTTTTGCTTAACATCCTATTTTTATTTGTCATTTGAATTATTCATATCCAATGATGAGTGAATGGATGAAGAGTTGATTTATTAGGAATTAGTTTTCCCATTAACACACAATACTCTATTCTTGAAGGGTGTTTTTTTTTTTTATGTGTTTGTTTCTCAAGTTGTTGCAATGCTAGATAAACTTACTTAACTGGTTTACAACATAATCATGTATGGTTTTTGATCAAAATGCCTGCATCAAGTTCAACCAGCTTTTGTTTACTGTATATGCAATTTCCAAGTTACTGTCATAGATTTATTTAAAAATAACTGGATAGATTTTCTAATTTAAAAACAAAAATAGTTTTAAAGTTTTGTGTTTTTGAAATTTGTGAAACTTCATCATTCATAAAGTTTGGATTTTAAAAAGAAAAAAGGTGTCTTCAAAGAATTGACACCATTCAGTTTTGTCAGTGGGTACGGTTCTGACTTGGTTTCAGAACATTGTCAATCCTCAATTAAAAGGTGAAGTGCATTTATTGAATTAGTTTCATTTGTTCTGCATTTCTTTCTTGTCTTGTTTCTTGTAATATAACTGGATCTTTTTATAAATAAGACAATTGGAATTCTGTTCACTAATTTTATCATTTTTGCTGCACATCTAATTGCATCACTTTGTGCTTTTTTGCATGTTTTGCCATTAATTTCTCATAAAATCAGGATTTCACTTTGGCTGTTTCCTTTGTGAAACCTCATTATTCTTTTTCTTTTGTCGATGTTTGCATTTATTAATTTTTGTTTCTTTTTCTTTCTTATTTCAGTTCTTGTGGTAAAACCCAGTGCAGTTCAAGCCAATGTGAATCTCGTGGCTATTGTGGTCCCAATTTGCATTGTTACCGTAATCCTTGGTACCATTCTCCTTATTTTATTCATTCGCCACAAAAGACTGCAACGTAGCTTTTTGGCCTATGCCAGTAGCCATTATGATCCACGCTCTGAAAGAACAACTTTCAATTCAGCAGAATACCTCGGTAAGCAAATCTTCTTAAAAACAATCCATCCAAAAAAATCCCGAAGCCATTCAAAATTTGCATTAAAGTATTAAGATTGCTGTAAAAGTGCATTATCAGCTTAGCTGTAAATAATTGTTTTATATTTAAATTAAAGGAAATATTTAATTCTTCATATTGGAAATAAAATAAAAATAATGGAATTAAGTTAATTTTTATTAATCAATGGACCCAATGTAAGCTTACTGATAAAATTCTTCAGTTCTTAGCAATTAGAAAGCTGTGAGCTGTGTTAACATCTTCCTTATTTCTGAATATCTTGGCACTAAGAAAATGTTCTTGTGCTCAAAACAAATGTTAATCCTAATGTAGTAAGTCCGGCAAGTTTGGTGGGTGAGGTAAAACTTCTTTGGCTAATGCCTTTATTTCCTACTGGAATTCTGCTTTTTCTTAAATCTCTTGTGCTTTGAAAAAGATCTGCTTCAACAGATATCTTCAAAGCATTATTATTATTCTTTGTGTTTGCTTTTCTAGAGTAAAACTTATAGAAAAGATCAGGCCCTTTTTTAAACTTTCTAAGTCATTGCTAGCATTCATATAGTCATAATACTCGAGTACACAACACAAATATTCTTTATTTGCATTTCATTGTCATCTGCTATAAAAATGAACATAACAAAGACATGACAAATTCTGACAATATACAACAAGAAACTCATTAAAATGTTTTTCCTATGGAGTCAAATGTTACTATATTACAAAGCTGAAAGCCATCCATACCACAGACAATAGGATATGACAAACAGTATACAATAGGTAACATGATACTAATATAGTAAGGTTTGACCCAGGGAACCTGATACTAATATATTAATATTTGATTTATATCATCAAAATTGACAATGATACTTGACAGAACAGACGTTTTTTTTATTTTTTAATCATTTCATCCCAAGCAAGGTGGCAATGCCACTCATATGTATTGGGGTTACAGGGGGTGAAAGATAAGACTGAGAATTATGGGATTCAAGAAACAGAAGATGGCGATTGACACTGCATTTAAATTTTTGAAAAATATAGTCATCAGGGAAGCAAGTAAACAGAAGGGAGTTCCACAGGTGGGTAGTGTGAGAAAAATTGTTGGGGTAGAAGTGGTGTTTACATTTAACAATTTCAACTGTAAAAGGGTTGGGCCTAGATACTCATCAGAGTAGCTGCCATGAAAAATATATATATATATATATATATATATATATATATATATATATTTTATTTTATTTATTTATTTTTTATTTTTTAAAGAATTTCACCTCAAGCAAGGTAGAAGTGCCACTAGCAGGCACAGGGGTACAGAGAGTGAAAGAAAAAGAAAAGACGGGTGTTTGAGGAAAGGATAAAGAGAAGGACAAGGATCAAGATTAAGGCAACAGAAGATGACTATTGACATTACATTTCAATATTTGAAGATTATAGCCATCAGAAAAACAAGAGGAAGGGAGTTCCACTGTCAGGAAGTGTGAGAGAAGAAGCTGTTGGAATAGAAGAAGCGGTTACATTTAACTTTTTCAACAGTGAAAGGGTGGGACCAAGATGCCGACCTCGTAGCATGCTTAAATTTATGCAGTTGGGGTACCAGTGAAAGTAGCTCATCAGAGCATTTGCCATGAAAATATTTCTAGAAAAGTTAAAGGGAAGCCACATCACATCTGTGAGAAAGTGTCTTTAGTTGAGATGCCAGGTCAGGACCAATGACATTGCATATCTGTCTTTGGATTTTGTCAAGAACCTTGAGATGAACAGTGGGGACACCAGACCATATATGGCAACAATATTCAATGCAAGGACAAAGAGTAGATCTGAAGGATGGACTCGGATGAGAAAAACCTTCTGGTGCAACACAGAAAACCAACTTTCCTTGTGGTAGATGAAGCTATTGATTCAATGTAGTTGTTCAACATCAGGTCAGTGTAAAACGTGAGACCAAGAAGGCTCTCGTGGAGTTGAACATCAGCCATGCTGATAGGATGCAGGGAGGTTCCTCTAAGGTGGGTAAATGAGAGCAGTTACCCTTTTAGAGGCATTATGGTTTACAAGCTATTTCCTACCCCAGTCAACCACAGATTCTTGGACACTTTTGAGACCAACGGCCAAGTTAACTTTTTCAACAATGTCCAATTTACTCTTGAGACTGGAGTAAATGGTAATTTCATTTTACTTGAGAACTGATCACATCAAAAAGTTTGTTGATGAAGATCAGAAACAGTGTCAAGTTAGAGCCTTGGGGAACACCCGCGTTCGTATGAAAGGAATTAAAGGAGAATCCATTTAGGACGACCTTCATTTCATGGTTTGATGGGAATGATTGGATTAAATCAAATAATCATCCTGTAGTATCATATCCCTGGAACTTACGAAGACCTGCATGCCAAACCCTATCAAATGTCTTGGAGATATCTAGAGCCAACAGCTCAAGCTTTACCATTATTATCAAGAGCTTGGTATACAAATTCAATTATGGCTGTGAGCATGTCAGCAGTAGATGGGGAAAAGTGGAAACCATATTGTTTGTCAGAGTAGATCATGGGATGTAAGGTGCTTAAGCACTTTGATATTGATTAAAGCCTTGAAGACTTTGCCAAAGAGTGGTAGGAGACTGATAGACACAGTAGTTAGATGGGTCAGAAGGATCTCCAGAGTTCTTAAGAAAAGGGACAATTGATAAGGACTTCCAACAGAAGTTGAAAAACAAGTTATATAATTTGGGGGGAAATCAGGTGTGGGTACTCCGGGTGAGTCAATTGTTGAGTTGGATGAGAATTTCTGAGCAAAACATAAAAGACAGAGGGAAGCCATGTCATGTCAGTGAGGAAGTTGAGATGCCAGGTCAGGATCAATTATATTACAGGTTGTTCTTTGGATTTTGTCAAGAATCTCAAAATGTACAACAGGAGCAACAGGTCTGATAAAAATTTAAAATATTTAAAATCGCAATGTGAATTTTATTTTTATTTTATTTTTTTTAAACAAAATTTTCATCCAACACAAAGCCCCAAAACCACTCAAGGTAAAGGTTTACTACATAAGTTTATTGTATGAACATAGGAAGAGAAAAATAAGTGCAGATTATGAGGATATATAAGATAGGTACAGCTGACCCTAACCTTGAAGGAGTTAAGATTGTAGTGATTGGGGAAACATCCTCTCAGAACTCTGCTCCATAAAGTAACATCTCTTGGAGAAAAGGCTGATTAGAATTTCCTTAACAATGCAAAAAGAGAGAGATAGAGAGAGAGAGGATGGTTTTCCACTGTGCATATGGCATGACCGGTTTTAGTTGTAAACGTCTGAACTGGTGGAGCTAAGGAATATAGCTCATTAAAACATTTTCCATGGCAATAGCGATAAATTAGTAAGAGGCTTGCTACATTTTGTTTGAGGGTGTGCAGGGTTTGGGGTTGGGAGAGTAGAAGGAGTCTTGAGCCTCTGTCAAGGCTGGGAAACTTGGCAATCTTTATGCATGGTGTCTCCTCAGGTGATTGGTGATCAGGGCTCTCCACAATTTTCTCTCTTTTGTAACTCTTAATAAATTGTCTTTTTGTTGTTTCTCCTAAACCCTGTTCCCCCATCCATTTATAAAACCTCACTCAGTATAAACAGCTTCTTCCTGTGACCCCCCCCTGCTCTGTGGCATCAACTCCCAAGAGGATGTTTCCCTAATCTCGACACCATTCTGGGTATGACAATAAACTACATCCGCGTCCTGGGTAAGATGATAAACAACGTCCAACAGCAAGGCCTCTGATCAGGAGGTTTTGAGGAGCATGGAAGCAAATCTTAATTGCTGGTGTTCCCAGGTTCACCCTGACCTGATGTGGTAGCACC